CCATCCAACTCCGCCCCCTAGCTAGAATTCCAACCCGACTGGCGACGGAGGCAATTAGCCGTGTTCCGACGCCTGCTCTGAGGAGCTGCCTCGCCTTGCCCTTCAAAACTGGGAGAATATGTAACATGGTTCGGTTTCATTGTCTGGCCAAGCCGAGGCGCACTGTGGCCATAGATGCATACACAAAGTATCTAAGTCTCTGGCCGTATTGTTCAAGTCATGCAGTCGGAGAGGAGGTCTCCCTCTGCTCCTAGCGACTGGGGCAGAGGTAAGCAGGAGGGACTAGGTTACGTGCCATGTCCGGGGGCTATTAAATTAATTATGCCCGCTTTAATGGCTTTTGTTGGCTTTTTCTATTTTATAGATTTATGAAATGTGGAGAATATGAAGAGGCACCCTGCCGCACTCTAATTGTTTTTAGCATGAAGCGGCCCAGAGAGTGCCACTTTAATGGTCCTGGGCTCAGCGTTAGTCTAGGTCCAGGCACGATCTAGAAAATACTTCCCTTATTATCGCAATCATTCGTTTGAAAAACTCTCAACTTATGAGGCCATAAATCAGCAAAGGTGTGTCATAAAGCCGCAGAGGCGATGAAGTTCTCATCGGTTGTGCTTACTAGTTCCGGGTAGTCTAATAATTTCCACGATTATTAATTATCTGCTTCGGAAGCTCATCTCACAAGGTGAAAACGAAAACAAACGCAGTTTTCTGGCACTCGAATGTTTGTGCTTGTTGCGCATTTTTTCGATCGCCCCACACAGAAAGTGCAACGATTGGCGACGCTTTAATTGATTCGGAAATGCGCAGTGTCTGTGAAGGGAAGGCCCAAGAACATTAACGCCGTTTGCCCAACCGCAACTAAGTGTAAATTGGTTGTTGTTTTGATGCCAGAATTAGCGGAGATGTGGAAGATAACTGGGCTCAAAGTCACCCATACAAGGGCTCTTTCGCTGGCCATTTTTGACTCTGACCACAGTAATGATACCAATTTTGTAACGCAAATGAAGAAAATCATTTGAATTACACACACGCCCTGCTACTCAGATAGAATGGGTGTCGTGACTCTTTCGGTTTCGATCTCAGACATTAGTTTTGGGTAATTGTAAGCTGAAAATATTAGATTTCCTTTGAACGCCAAAACGCAAAAAGTTGCTGGCTCGTGCAAAAATATCAAGTTTTCAGAACACTTGCCCAAGGTTTTCTTTCCATATAAATCTGACGCGTCTCCACAGACCGAGTCAGTCAAAATTACACGTTATTAAGAAAGGTTTCATGTTTACAAAGGCATTCTCAATGCGATGGGAAGCAGAATTAGCCTCATTTCTACTGTGGAATAAATGGTTTTAATTGCCCGTAAAGGAAACGAGCCAAGTAATTCTGTTTTTAGTGTCGCAGATTCCTCTTAAGATAATGAATATCGTTTTAGTTTCATAGCAAAGGTTGGAGTACTTTAAATTCTGATCATTCCTATTTAGTTGTCACGTATTTTATAGAATTTATTTTAGTAGACCAAAAAGGATATAACAATGTAAGCTGCATTGAATTGAAATTCTTCACTGTTTAGAATGCATAGAAAATAAAGTTAACAAACGCTTTCGCACTTAGCTTTAGCAAAAGCGTTTAGTCGGGACAGGAAATTTTGCGGTTACCAGGCAATAGCGTTACCCTTTTTGCACCTGCCGTTGATTATATCCGCCGAAGCCACTCCCTACCCGCTAACGTCCTTCAAACCGAACCGATTACAGCCAAGCCACACGTGGCCAACCGTTTTCTAGCTGACTCGGCTAATGGACATTTTAGAAAAGCGACCATGGGTGGGGTCCAATGACTGCGGCCGACTGCCACTGACGTGCATTTGCATTAAATGTTAATGGTAAAATGCAATTATTTTCGCACATGCAAGGCGCTCGGCGACCCGGGACAGGGCATTAAGCATGGGACGCACGCGTTGCGCATGTTTGTTGACAATTAATACCCGGTTTTTCTTGCTCTCGGTGCAGTTGCAGCTGAAACAGGGCGCTGTCTGGTCTAAAAATGTCCAGTGCGGTATGAGCCCAATTTCGCATTAATTTCCGCAAAACTCGAAAAGGCCCGCGAAAATGAATGCGATCATTTCGGGGTGGGGGAAAAGAAACTATAGAGAATACATCTCCACTCGACCGGCTGGTCAGCGGGAAATTCTTGCACGGCAGTCGGATGACCCTTGTGCCATAACTTAAATGAACGCATCCGCTGTGGCATGAACTGCTCTTCCCCTTGGTTGACAACACAAACACAAAAAATATTCCAATCATGCATTTGCCCTCCGATGCACTCAACTCTTCCCCTCTCTCTCTCTCTCTCTCTGGCTGCTGTGGCTGTCGTTTCATCATCATCATCGCCATCGCCATCGTCGCCGCTACCCAACTGGATGGATTTTTACTATGGGTGTAGTCGCGGTTTGTCCGTGTGGCACTTTGATGTTGTTTTAGTGGCTTCTTTCCATCTCCCCTCCCGTCATAGCCAGAGGTTATTATCCCCTGATTAACCGCAATTGCTGCTGCTTTTCTTTACTTTTTCGTTCCACTCACTATACTTGTTGCAATATCTTGTGTCGTTTGGTTGCGGCTCCACTGACTCTACAAACTCGCCGTTCATTCGCCTGTCAATTTGGTTTAATCACTGGGTTTGTTGATTTTTCTAATCATCGGCCAATCTCCGCCAGCTGACGGTTCACCCAGGAGAAACGCATAACCAACTTTTGCATATTATTCTTTAATACTGACTTCATCTATTTAAACTAATGATTGTTTCAATATAAAATGTTTTAATGGCTTATTCCAACAGATTAGATATCGAGAAACCTTTTTATGATGAACTTCCCGCATTCAGTCGTAGTAAAAAGAATTTAGTTGTTACCATTAAAGCGGAGATAAGATTAGCGTACATTCTTGCCTTAACCAAGCCCAACTAAATTGGTTTGGGAAACCAAAGCCTCCCAGTCAAAAGGATAGATGTGCTCCTTCCGACGAATCCAATTCCAAGGCATCGCCCTTTTAATCAAATAACATTTCAAGTACTTTCCACAGCCACAAAATGCTGCGAAAGTTGTCATCCAATACGGTTTTTGTGCGGCAGCCAAGTGGCGCAATAAAAGAGCAAATTCAACGCATAATTCCAGTGTCAGCCCAAGTGGCAAGTATTGATTTTTGTTCGCTTTTTATTCGGCGACACTCGAAATACAGTCGTCTCACAATGCACAAACATTCCCGGCCTTTGGGGGCCAAGCGTTCGGCGGAACTGCAGGATACCTCATCGTAGACTCAGCACTGTACAGTGGCCCGAAACAGCGACGAACTGGCAGCGCGCGCCATTTGCATTCTTGGCACCATCAGCGCGAGAAGAAGGAAAATGTTGGCAACACTCGGGGCCTTTCATGGGCCCCACTCCCAGTTTCCTGCCTGACCTGTAGTTTTGTGTGTTTTTGGCATGTTTCATTGGCAGGCGCGCTTAAAATATGCTAAAAAGTCGCGCAGCAGGTTGACGCGCGGGGTGCAGTAGCGGCTGCGGATCGGATCGGAGTGGAGTGGTTTGCAGTGGAGTTGAGTTAAGTGAGTTACTACACACCCATTTTTCAATTGCTCCGCCACGGCAATTGTGGCTGTTGTGTTTATTGTTCGCTCGCCTGATAAAATATACCGCACACCATCCGCCCACCTCGACTAATGGGCACAGGAAGAGGATTCGGAACGGGAGCAGAGTTGTCAAACTACTGCAATGGCGTGCCAACGTCAGTCGGAATCCTTTCCCTCCTTCACTTTCCCTTATCCTCCACCCCCATCATTCGAGCCATTTCGATTTGACGCAGTAAACTTGGTTCAAATTTATTTCAGACCAACTCTGAGCTGGCGATATTAGGAACCAAAAAAAAACTGTTTAGTGGTCTGAAGGTTAGAACTGGTCGGACATGCTCTGTCTGAATGCTCACCGAGCTGTGTCTGTGCCCGACCTTTTCTATAGAATGATTTGTTTCGGATATTTTATCCTTTTCTTTTTCGCTTTTGGCAAATACACCAGCGACCAGCGGGATGTTGTTGGGCTCGCTGGGCATAAAATTTATCTACTGTTTGGTTTATTTATAGGAAAAAGTTGATTGTTTTCGCAAAGTTAAACGATTATTAGTTGGGGTTGCGGAGAGAGATGGGTGAAACAGAATTTGATATCTGTCGCAGAAAGAGTCCCTTTACAGCATTTATTAAAATCAAAAGTAGAAAGCTATTTGTCTATTCTATTTTTGTGTACAAAACAAAGTTAAACCCCACCCATACCGTGTTTGTAAGAACCACTTCTACCTCCTTATAGATACAGATTGTATATAAATCATAATTAACCGATCAATAACAACCTGCCGCTCTACCAATTTCGTAATCAAGGAAAATCACTCTAGAAAATCTCTCGATCCGGCCAAATCACGCGGTAACATCACACACCCACACTCAACCACACTCCAGTTAATTATTTTCTCAAAACAATTAAAAGTGCGCTCATAGAAGTGTATTCCCCGGCCAATTGGCAACAGAGGAATCGACTAACAAAATTGACTAGCGTGTCCATAAATGTTTATTACTCATATGGCAATTTAAACAAATAAAAAGTCGGAAAAGAACGCGCCTGGCGGAGAATCCGGCTGCCGTCAGAGCGACGAGCAAAACAAACAGTCTATATTATATATTGATAATTTAAGCAAAGTCTGACAATTATTGATAAAGGTAAATAAATCGACAGCACCGCCCTGACGTCACGGATTGCAGCTACCTTTTATCAACAGATAGGCGGTGTGAAAAGATAGATACATTGTTCAACGTTGACTTTGGGAACTGTCTGTATAAGGGGAGGACCTATATCTATTTATAATGCTCATTATGAGTAACTGAAGTGCAAATGACGCGCGTTGTTTTGTACTTGTAAATTGCATGGACAAGATATAGAGCGGGAAATGAGCAATCTTAATGCATATTTACATGGAATATTCCGATGATCCAAATGGCTGATTTCCTCCCAACTTATTACGCTTTGTTTCCACTTCGCAGCTTCTGGGAGAACCTAATTGCCGTTTTGCAGTTTGATTGTATTCTTTTTATTTTCTTTTTCTTTTTTGCACTATCGACACAGACACACACACACACAGATTTGATAAGACAACAGCTTATCAGTTGAATTAAACGGTCGTCTTCAAACTCTTTGATTTCGGCCAACTTAATCTTTGCACATGGCCAGCGAAGAAAATGAAATCACAAAGTAAACCAAAGTATATTTTTAAATATTATTATTATTTCATTTTGCAGTTAAACTCTTGGGATTTTCCATCACCAAAAATAATTCAAGCTGTGCGCCAAAATTTCTATTTCATTTCACTTTTTGTATTTTCATTTTATCAAATATTTGGCACTCGAAAAGCGGGAAGAATGCGAACGAAAACGCGAAACAAAAATTCGATTCAGTTTCAGTTGAAAGGCCGCGCACTCCGACGATTCCGTATCCGTCACCTCAACATGTTGTGTGGGTTGTCCGACTCAGAGTGAGCGATAGTATCGCGCGACTCCGAGAGATACCCGAACGGGGCACAGCTGACTGCCGGACTCTCACAACAAGTGGCTCTAAGAGAGCGAAAGAGCGCAGCTGGCGTTCTCTTAAACTCACAGGTATCTTTCCGATACAACGTATTTGTCAGGCAGAACGCAAAGAGCCCAAAGTTTTTACTGCACTTAGCAGACGTTCCTTTTGCCCGCAGTTAACTGTTAGTATTATTAATAAAGAGGTCGTTGCTTTTTAAATTTAAAAACAACAAGGATAACGGATGATACAATTGCTGTACAAGTGCCTTACATCATATATTCCTGTTTAACAACTTGTTGTATTGAAAATTAGTTTTTAACATTTGTTGCAACAAATGCAAACTTAGCTTCCACAAATGAGTCGCAAAACTTGAAATGGGCCATTGGCACGGGAGGAAGTCATTATCATTTGGCCTGCTCCTGATTTTGCATAAACACATGAAATTGAAACACGTGAGAGCGCAGCGAAGCCATTTACATGCAGACGCCATAAACTGCATTGGGTGTCCCTTCCAGTTCCATTTGTTTCTGTGTTTTTTTTTTTTGTTGGTTGGGCTGACTTCGATTAGTTTTCCTGGCCATTGTTCGCAGATGGTAGGGAGGTAGGAAATAAACTGAGGGAGGGAAAGGGCAGAGTAATGGCCAGTGCAATGGCCATTGTTGCCACCCGTTCCTTGTCCCCTTCCCCTCCGTTCTGTCTCGTCCTGCTCGGCCATAACCTCAAAGCAGACATCATAAATCAAAGAACAAATTTGCACTTCAAGTGCGCTTTCAATAAGTTTTCCTCTTTGAACATTGTTGTGTTGGAAAGTTACTGTTCTGCCCTTGTTGTTGTCATAAATCATAATTTAAAGCTGGGGGTGTGTAGCATTTTAAACAACTTAATGAGGCAAAAAGACCCCAAACTTTTCTATTAGCATTTCTGATGGGACAGAGCAACAAGCAAATCAAAGAGCATTCAGTAAGAGAAACTCTGAAAGGGAGAGTCGGCGAGGAGACATTCGCGGATCAGATGACTAAACATTCGCGCAATCTCATAAAGCAAACAACAATAAACAGCAGCAAATAACGACGAACAAGAAGGAGAAGCGAGCTCTAATAAAATGGAAACGAAAGTTCAACGGAACATTCTGATTGTGTGTGCTATCCAAAACTTGTATATTTCAGCAAGAACAACAAATTATCAACGCTTGAGCCCAGCTGCCCATCGCAAGAGAGCGTGATTAGCGAGAAGCCCGGAGGCTTTATCTTATCCGCTAGGCGAACAGAAGAAAACTAGGAAATACTGGCAGAATATAGCAACGCAACAAATCACAAGACGATTTCAGGGGCCAGCGAAGTGACGCCGGAATCTCAATCCGATAACTGAGAGTACGTCAGCCATGATTCATCCATATCAAAACAATTATACTATATATTGGCTGAGTGCACGCCGGATGGCTAATTGCCGAGATATGCTCAAGGAATTTCCGAGGAATTTTTGTACAAATGATTGGAAAGTTAATAACAATGGAATGCCAGATAAGTTAAATGCGGTATACCCAGGCGAAGTATTGAAAATATTAGGTTGCCCAGAAGTCTTGCGGTATAAAATTGGTTACAATGATGGTATGATGCGACGAATAAAACAAGAACTACGCACTTTCAGCGCCAACTAGCAAAAATACCGCAAGACTTTTGAACAAACTAATGTATCCCAGAATCTGAGTATTGAATGTGTTTTAAAGCATACTTTCGGGCTAGCGCATTTACAGTTGAATAACAGTGCTACTATGTCAACAGTTTAGCTACTTTTTTTTTAAATCACCAAGAACTGGATATAAGAGACATTTACTTTTGGAGGCTCACTGTTTTTTAATACATTAACTATTATCCACTGAATAAAATAAGCCAGACATTATAGAGGGGCTTTTATAGTAAAAGTTATTTACCATAAACTCTCTTTTGTCTCTCTTTTGTTTTGAGTCAATCATTGTTGATTTTAAATTTTAAGCATACAAATTAGTATAGAGGGTTTTACATTTACCATTCTTAAGGAAATCCTAGTTCTCACTTTAAAGAAATCCTAAGTCCTGGTATCAAGAACGAGGAGTTATAATTGTTGTGAATACCCAAACAAGGTCTGTCCTGTCGGCTTCTGTGAAATTTATTGCCGCTGCTAACAAAGCAAATTCAACTGCACAGCACCCGAAAACTTGACCCAACTTAACCCGAAAGTTGAACCCAGCTAATTGCCGAAAAATTGAAACTAAAACCAGACACCAGAAACCAGCAACCAGGAGCGAATAAACAGGGAAGCGATTTGGTAATTTATGCACTGCGGTAAAGGGCACAATAATTTCAGGTAGCCATTGAGAGGAGAGAGAGAAGCGAAGGGCCGAGGTGTCAATTGCCCCGCCAGGTAGCAATAATACAGCGAGATAGGTTAGTTAGGGCTAGGGAAGCCACCCAGAAAATGCAGGCCACATTATGCGTAATAAGCCGCAGCGGAAATTTTGAGGAATCAGCGAAATTTTGTGGAAAATATAGAGAACTATAAAAACGAATACTGCTCACAAAATTAGCGAAATTGTACTGACTCGCTTACTTTTAGTTAATCTTTAATAGCATATTGTCCCTTTAACAATAGTTTAAACAAATGCCCGTTGTCACTGACCTAGATCCATTTAGAGTCTTATCAGTTACCTTAAGCCGATTAGCCTAGCACACTTTTTCGAATTCTTAACCTTCCTAAGTATTTCCAGAATAGTTCGATTTTTCATTCATAAGTTCCTTACGAGTCTGATAACACGTATTGTATGAATCACGTTCTTGCTTACACACTCACCTTAGCTTTATTTTTGTTTAGAATCTTTCGATATAGGAACTTGTACATAGCACTACAGTAACAAAGACAACAGCTTATCAAACAATAAATAACAATTTGCTGGCTTTTGATCACGTTTCTTGGCACACACACACGCACACGCAGTTAACCAAAAAAATAGTATATTTGTTTGTACTTATAACCAAATTTAACAGTCGAGCACCCGAAAACAACTTGAAAACGCTCTGCGTGTGTTCGCGGGACGGACGAGCGAGGAACGTAGGTTTCTTACTCCCGCGAAACGTCATCGATGACTAAGAGAGAGCCGCGCAGATTTACGATCCATATGAGTTATGAGAGCGAAAACTGGAATATTCTGCACGAGGTCGGGACACAGGAGCGAAACCCAGAGAGTACAGGAGGGCAGGACTTTTTGAGGGCGTAAGGGATCAAATTTCGGGGAAATATTTTTCATTATTTTCTTTCTCTGATGTTCTTTATAACCGTACCTTACTGATGGATTTGAATCTTTTTACCGTTGAATAAACAAGTTTTTAAAACAAATTATTAAAAGTATATTATGCTACTATATTTAAGTATAGGTCATTAGCAACAATTTTACTTATTTACCGAATCGAAAGATTCATAATTAGGCATAAGTCTTAAGAAATTAAAATATGGAAAACTTTTTTTGTTAGTTAAAAAAGTTTTTTATATAAATTAAAAAACTCTTTTCTCTGAAATCCCCTCCTGTCAACCAGATTTTTCATTTACAGCTACCCTTTTCTCAGGCTTTAAATTCAAGAGGCTCCCACGTTGTTTTTTCTTTATATTTCGGCAAGCCAAAACACAAACAAAGAGAATAGCAAACGGCGATAAGCAAATGTCAACAGAAAAAGTTCAAAGATGAGCTCTGCAGCAACACTAAGAAATACATACACACATAACGTAGAGTGGCCACACTCCACAATAACGGTACTTTTTTATTACACTGTTCATTAGGCATACTTTTGTTTGATTTGTGGCCAAGCAGAGCAGAATGTCAATGAGGAAATGTCAACGACAATAGAAGATAAAGAAGAAGCGCGAAAATCCATCGAAAACGATCAAATAAATTTGCAACAATAAAGCCGATCCAAGCAAATTGGTCAAAGCGAAATGTGAACATACTAATTAGCCTCAAGCCTTAGACCTCAAGAACAACGGACAGTAAAGCAATGTTGAAAGAGAATAGGAGCTATCGAAAAAGGAGAAGATTGTACAGGTGTGCAGAGGTGAGCAAACTGACATTTGCTTGGAAAAAGGTGAAGGTCTCCCAAACGAATCGGATGATTCAGCAAATGTAAGGTGAAGATGTACAATATCAGATGATGTTGTAAATGCATACCCAGCAGGGATATAATTTGGTTTTTTCTTATTAAAAACATTTTCTTATTAGTGTTATTAATTATTTAAAATATTAATTACATTAATACCTTCATTAAAAAAGTCTTGGAGTTACGCTTTTTGGCATTTCCAAAGATGATTTATTAAAACCATTTAATCCTTATTTCAGTCAAGGAGAATTGTGAATAAATTGTTTTTAATTCTACATCAATAATTTAATTAATTAAACTCGCTTACTATATACTCTAGAGTTCAAAATCTGGAATAGAGAACGATAATTTCGGCGGTTAATTGCATATGCTGGCGCCTTTTATGGCAACTTTTATCCCAGACAACAAGCTATTAACCGCCCAAACAGAACTCATTACATAAACTCATGAAAACCGCATTTCTCCTTCTTTCCCCTTAATAACAATTTTTTATGTTACAGTCCAAAATTCCAAAATTCAAATTTCGTAACTCGAAATTGGTTTAATATTTTTATTTCTCACCGGAAAATTAAATTATAAAAAGGTTAAGGTTATTAAGGTTTATTTACAAGAAAAATATGTTATATTTATTTTAAACAAAAAGTGAAATACTTTGACTCGAGTTCTTCTAGTTATCAAATATCTTATCTGCTCAAATGTGTATGTTTACTTGGCAAATACTTTGTTTGAATTACTGATATTTCACTGTATTTCATTCTGTATGTTAAGACATCACAGCTTTCTGTTGGTCACTCACCTGTATTTCGAGTAAAAGTTCTTGCCTCTTTCGGCGCAGCTCAATCAGCAGCTTTTGCTGCTCCGGAGTTAGTTCTGCAAGAAGATAAACGTAACATTTATAATTTCTTTCTTTTGAATTTTATTTAGTGATTTGGAACGCAACAGCAGCAGCAAACACAAAAACAACAACAAGAATGATGAAAGCAGCATTCCAGGCACACGCATGTAAACACACCCACACTCATACACATACACTCACTGAGAGCTGCATTCGCTGCGCGAGAGCAGGACGGCAGCTGCTTGTGACGTAGTCAGAAGCTTGGCCTAATCAATAAACAATTTAGGTTTGTTAGCGCTTCTTCGCTTCTCCTTTCGCTGGCCAAAGCACAATGGGTGTCTAATTGTGCAAATTGACTTATTAGCGTCATTTCGGAACTGCGGATTAAATTCGATTGAAGGCCAGAAAATGAGAACACACACACACAGGCACGCACGCACTGCACACCTACACACAGACACACAATCGCAAGTAGGTTGCTTGTTGCTTCGCTTCACTTCTTGTTGGGGACTCGCCCATTCGTTTTACTGTATATAATATGCTGCACATCGTGTTTATAGGCTGGGCCATAATCCTTCAGCGAATCTGATGTTTACCTGGCATCGAAAATTCACTGCGCCCCTTTGAAATGGCTCCGTAAGATCTGTTGTCGAAATTGTCCATCGCGCTAATCATCATGGCGCCACTGAACAAACACACACACTCACTCGCGGACACGACACACAGTCTAGTTGTACATTATTTGCCAGCAGTTGGCTAAATTCGGAAGCTTTTCATTGAACAATTCTAAGGTGAGCGGATAATAAACAAATCAACACCAAAAAATTCTATCGCCATTTTCTTTCAACTCTCCACTAGGGATGTGCTGAATAGCGATGCATGGTCAATCGGATATTTCTTAAATACCAAAAAATACAATCGGTAAAATGCCGAGGGCAAGCTTACTGAAGCTAACCGTTGCAAAATCCATTACATGTCAGCACTATATTAAATATCTTGATTCCACTAGCATAAAATAGCCGTTAATTCGTCTTCGATTTCCATGGATAAGGAATCTTATTTATACCTTTTACTATAAACATATTGCCTTTTTGCTGATAATATTTTATTTTAAACAATTAGAAAATTCCAATTGAAAAAGCTTCGATAAATTTGTCAATGCGTTCGAATGGGATATGTGACCTGAAAAATAAAACTTCAAAGCGTAAATCTTAAAGAAATTGATCTGACCGACTTGGTTTCAATTTATTAAAATCAAAAACAAATTTTGTTTTTGCCAATCCGTGTAACCCTTTCAAATGTGGAGTCAAAATGGAAGTAAGCTGACAAAAGCTGACCCTAACTGTTAAGCCGTGTTTAACATTAATAAAATAAAGATAAGAAAATCATCATTGTTAAATATTTGGCTGAAAAAAAGAGAAACAATTGCTATTTAATATTTCAAAATTAATATTTTAAACTTTTTCGGAATGGCAACTCTGTGGACATATGTTCAAAAACTTTATAAATAAAATACCAAAAATACCACAGTCCAAAAATAAAATTACTGAAAAAATATATAAACCGTAGGAAAATTCACTTTTTCAAAAGTATTTTGACCATAAGTTAATTGACAAAACGTCCAATAAAACACAATCTACCGCAGATATACGATTCCTAAGCGGCACATGAAATAAACGATAGGTGGCAACGCCGCCAACATATGTGTGCACTGGCATCGATAATTTTTACATCCCTATATTAAACCGCAGAATTCTAGAAAATTCCACTCGCAGGCCAGCGTGAATTCTCGGAATTAGCTAAAGCAAGCACTGCCGGATTAGAATCGCACCCCCATCACCCAGCCCTTCATACAAACGTAGCCAGTTAACCCGGATTAAGCCATGGCCAAGTGGGGAGAAGGAGATCCGCGCTGGATTGTGGAAGAGCGCCCCGACGCTACCAATGTGAACAACTGGCATTGGACGGAAAAGAACGCCACGCCCTGGTCCAAGGACCGCCTCCATCAACTTTTCCAAGACTTCAAGATAGGCAAGTACCTCCAAGACACCTGTCAAACCATCCTAACCTAAAAGTAAACCTATCAAAACGCAGAGCATAGCGACATCGAGTGCGTTGTGGATGCCGTGGACAAGTGTTCCGGCGAAGCCACAGTCAACAATCGCAAAGGCAAGCTCATATTCTTTTACGAGTGGGAGCTAGTGCTTAAGTGGTCTGGTAAGCTGCTCAAGAACAGCAAACTGAGCCACAAGGGCAAGCTGACCATTCCTAATCTGTCTGAGGAGAACGACCTGGCGGACGTGGAGATCACGGTGACCATCGATGAGTCTAATGACGAGTCGGAGACCCTCAAGCAGTTCATGTACAACCTGGGCCGCGACCGCGTACGCAAGCAGCTGGGCGCGTACATCCGCGAACTGAAGGAAGAGTACTCCAAGAACCTAATCCTACCAAAGAAGGGCGATGAGACCGGCGCAGGAAACGCTGTGGCAAATGCCAAGGATTCCAACAATGTCCGGAATGCCGCCCAGAAAGCCGCCTCAAACACCTCATTGTCGGCGCCAAAGGGCAACAACTCAAGCGTCGGTTGCAAACTGGACGTACGCACCCTCTCGATGACCGAGGAGTTCCACTGCAGCGCTAACGACCTGTATAACGCCCTTACTAAGCCGGATATGGTCACTGCCTTCACGCGGGCCCCCGCCAAGGTTGATGCTGTGCGTGGTGGCGAGTGAGTATTCTACTTCCCTTGGACTCTTTTCTGGATTCCCAGGCTTATCATCGTACTGTAATGAAACTTTATTCAACTTTTGCCCTCATTTAAGATTCGTTCTTTATGGAGGCAATGTGCTTGGAAAATTCGAGGAACTCGTGCCTGAAAAGAAGATCCAGCAGAGCTGGCGTCTGAAAAACTGGTCATCTGGTCACTACTCGAATGTTGTCATAGAGCTGGAGGAAACTGTAAGTTACCAGGCCAACTGAACCCAGAACCCATCGTATAATAACAAAGCGGAATATTAGGGGTTGTTGACTTCGGACTTTGACAGAATTCACTTTAGGTTTTTCTTCTATTTTCACCTCTTCTTTTAGCATTAACGTACAAATCAAAACGTTATTCAAACTAACCTCAACGAAAGAACCTACGATACGTAAATTTATTTTAAAATTTGCATTATTGCAACTTTTTATGTCTTTGAACCAAGTTGGTTTGAATTTTGTTTTATAGATCAGTTTGTTTCCTCCCGAAATTTGACATTCAAAATAAGATAAATATGTAAAAGGCTGGCGTTTTCGAATATTCTTGATGGAGATCATATGGCAAGTCGATCTAGTCAAATCCTTCTATCGCCGTCTTTGACGCACCCATATGTGTGTTGAAACGGAAAATATCTATTTTGTCAATACCTATCTTCCTACTAATGGTTGAAGTTCGACAAATTAAGGTTATGAGGCCACAGCCAAATCTATATATATTTGAATCATTTTTTAGTTTTAGCACTATGTAAAGACATATTATCTCGATACTGGTTAATTAAGTAATTGTTATTGGACCTGTTTATTGACTGTTCTATAATGAGCAAAAGGAGGCCGACGATCTGAAAATAATGATTCCGAATGCTTCAAATTTGTAGTTTGCTTAGTAAATGCCTATAGTTAAAAAAATAATATACAACTCCACGTCCTCAAAGACTGTAGAAAAGGAAACACAGTAAGATGCTAATATGTCCAATCTTATATGCTAAAGGCCTTCATAGGTATTAACTCCACAGAACTAGTCAGTGTTGTACTAAATATTACCATTTCTCCTTGCAGTCTTCAAGCACAATGATGTCGCTCAAGCAGACCGGGATCCCCTCCTCCGAATACGATGCGATGAAGACAAACTGGTACCGATACTACTGGCACAGCATCAAGCAAACCTTCGGATTCGGTACCTCGATATCCGACGCCTTATAAGAGGACGCCTCTGGTGCGGAAGGCACTAGATTGAATGGGGATTTGGTGGCCGGCGGATCATTAAAAGATTTCCATTTGTATTCTACATATTGTGCTGCGAGAACTTCATTTCCACCACTAGCTGTAATTTCTGTTAAACCTTGAAGGCTCTTTCAAAACCTCTTCTGTAACGTTCGACAACTTTCGAACTGAACAGTCAACGGCTCGTTTGCTACAGTTGCAGTAGAACCACATTACATACATAAAAAACAAATACAATTCACGCTTCCGACATTGATTTCACACATTGAAACGCTGAGAAAAATAAATGAAAATTTAGAAAAGGATGTTTTTGTAACTTTTGTTTGTATATTAAAATAAATTTGTTACAAATAATAGATATGAAAGCCTTAAAACCCCTGGGAGAAGTACTGAAAAAATTAGGAGAAATTACAAACAAGTTTTACAATAAATTTGTGGTTCTTTCAATTGACAATATTCTTATGACGTTTATGGGTTATATTGGGCCTATTACTCCGAAGTAGGAATCGTTCCGCTAGTGAGGCTCCTCTCCAGCGTGGGGGGTATACTAAAATAAAAAAAAAATATATTTAAAAACATTAATGAAAATTATGCCGATAAACACGAACTTTTTAGCTCATTTTTCCTATTGGATTGTTGCTGAAAATAAACTTTTCGCTATTATAGTACGAGAGTAGAGAAGTCTGCTCTGTATAAAGCATAAATTAAAACTGGGAACTAATATCTTTTCTGGACTTAGAAACCATATTTGGTTAAGATATGATTGAGGTATCGAAGGTAGCCTGATAGACAAAGGTCAGTCTAAATGGAAACAATCACATGAAAGAAGATATTCGAATTTTAATCTTAATAAAATTACAACATTTTTATCACGTTGAATAGATCATCAGAGATACATGTCGTTAAATTAAGAGTCTCTCCATATTTAACCTATCATTCTAGCAGAATCAGACTAATAATAATTGCCTTTACCGCTAGACTAATCTAACCTGTAAGTCGTGCATTAACTTTAAAAGCTGGATATTTAGACAGTGTGCTCAAAAGAAAACTTACCTTCAGTCTGCTTTGTGAGTGGCCAGGTGCTTCTGGTACTCCTTGAAGCTATTGCTCTTGAAGATCTCGCTGGCTGCCTGCTCGGAGCACTTGGCGCACTCATAGATGAACTTGCCGGGGTGCTTGCCCGTCTTGATGACGTGCTTGCGCAGGTTGTCAATGGTGCTGCACTGGAAGTCGCAGTGAGGGCACTGGTGAGGCTTCTGGCCCGAGTGGCGCAGCGAGTGCCGGCGGAGATGGCCCTTGATGCGAGCCCTGAACTCGCACTGATCGCACGAGAACCACTCCGCACCACTCTCCTTCCCAGAATGGGCCGACTTTAGGTGCCTGCAGAAAAAACAGAGGAGAGGAAACGAAGCTTGAGCGAAGCCATATTTAAAATCTCAACGCTTGATTAGGCGGTAAATTCCAGTGGCGGCTTGTCCCGCCACCGCAGTCAGAACTAATTGCTAATTTCGCATTCGAATCGCACGCTCGAAATCAAAATACGAGTAAGTTGGCAATTGCCAATTGCCTTTCGGCCAGAGAAGGAGAAAAGGCTGACTTGGCCAATCCGGGCTTTGCTTAGATGGCGATCAGTTTTTGGGTTAAGAGCGGGAAACCAATATTGGGCAATCGAACGATCTGGTCTAGACGACTAGCCAGTGAGCTTCGATCGTGCTCGGAAGTTTGGGATTGCATAATAGTAGTATTAATCCTCAAAGTATTTTATTATAAAAAGCTGAGATCGGAAACATATACTTAGAAACATCCTAATTATATAACAAAGTACGCATAACTATAGGTTATTTTATTTATACTCTAGACTTAAAGGTTTATACCGCGTATTTTACGAACTTTTGAAATATAAAATATATTTATATTTATACCTTAAGTTGATTGTTAAATTATTTTCCTATCCACTTCCATTAATGATCACCCCCATAAAGCCGATATGCCCCACCAGGAAGAGGGAGGTCACCTCACTCACACGATTTCAGTTACGCGCCTTCAATTATGCCCAATGCTCCTGGAGCTTTTCCCCCAGAAGCCAGCTGAAGGAGTCTCTCCGCGAGCGTGCGCTTGTGTGTGTGTTGTCCACTCCACTTATCAGCTACTGTCCAAACCGAAGACTCACAATTAATTGCCAATGTTTTTTTGTGGGCTCGGGCCGCCGGAATCGGAATCTGTGTGAAATCTCAAGCTTCGACTGGACAAACTGAAGGCTGAAGTTCCAGACCCAGGCGAAACAGACGGACGCGGCTCATGCGCGACTCGGTAGGCTTAATTAGCGGCAAGTAATGGAGCTTCAAGATCGTCCCGCCAGTTGTAGGAGGTTTTCCAGCCTCATTCAGCCCCAGCCCCCGCCCCCTCAGCATGTACATGTATCTCTGTGTGTCGAATGCCGACAAACTGGCGAATCGCGATTCGCGAATCGAGGCCGCGCAGCCAGCCGAACGCCTTTTTGGATGCGCTTTGAAATTCCTGGATCAGCAGCGCTGCCTTTTGATAGCTAATTGAAGATCTCGGATGTGAGTTAAGCCCATCACAGCAGCTCCCTGCCCAGAGCCTGGATTTCTGGGCAAGATTTATGCAAGCCCTGATTTTCGGCTGAGGTCAACTTTGCGTACTTTTAATGAGGCGAAGTCTTTTGTTTTCCTTTTGATTTACTTTTGCTTTGCTGAGTGAATTCATTAAGAAAAGTAATGGCTTGGATTTGCAGATTTACAGAGATATATTTGAGGAATGTCAGCCAGGTCTTTCTCCAGAAGAGGGCATATATTGAAGCCCGATACAACTTCCTTAAAGGGAGAGGAGAAGGGACTTAGTTAAGTATAATATCTAATAGCCAGGTCTCTCAGTCTTTTCGTTTTGGTTTACATTTTCATAAATATATTTTAAATTTCTTTTCTTTTCTATGTTTTGCTGTGATTAACTCCTTTTTGGCCACAAATCCACTCCTTTTCTTCACTGACATGTTTCGAAAGTAAGGTATATACAGTAAGAAATATAATAATAATAATATCATCAATTTACAATATATATATTTTACAATTAGTCTTGATTACCGATTCTTACTTAAAACAATATTCATTTAATCAATAACTATTCCCATAAAATACTCTGATATAATAATAATTCACTCTGCATAAGCGGCACCTTAGCTTAAGCTATTTAGTAGTCGCTTGATTGTATTCTAGCTAAGGAAGTTCTCATGCATAACGTCTACACTTCATCTAATCCATATATAATCGCATTTCCAATACCCTCCACAATGTATAAAATCTATTCAGTTACAGGCAACCTTACCCCGCCCAAGAAGACAAAAGACAGCGAGCCAAAGGTTAAGGTGATGTGGGGTATTAGCCATTATCCATCCCACTGCTCCAGCATTCAAATCAGCAACGAGCAAGCCAACAGACCAACTAACCAACGGCGGAGTACAAAAGAAGCCAAATGTCGTCCCCATCAAAGCGAACAGGGAATCGACGACGACGATCCTCCTCGTCCACGTCCACATCCCCATCGACATCCACATCCAAAGCCACTTACAACCGAGACTGGATCTCTGTTTCGCTTTATTTCGCTTTTTTCTTGGGGCGGACAGCTGCACAGTGGCTGGCCAACAGTGGCACTACCATATTGCCGGCAATTTGGCCCTGAACTGATCGCCGGGATCGAAGAGAGCCGAAGGGGGCGGTAGAAATATTACAAGAATTCAATGCGCATATCAAAGGCGATCGATAAGTCACGATTTTGTGAGGATCGAGCGGCGACTCTGGCGACTGTCCTCCTCCAACTTATCCCCACTCCTCCGGTCCCCTCCGAGCTGCCTCTGTGCTTCTTGTTGTTTTCATCAATTTATGCAATTGCCGTTCAAAGTCTGCAATTATGGATGACATTTTCGCTCTTGTTGCTCTTTTGCCTGCATTTCTTTTTGTCCTGCAAGAAATTCAAATTCGTGGGGAAAATGTCGCTCGTTTATTTTGTTACCTGCAATTGTCTTGGCCTCGTTGCAAGTCCTGATTAGCATTTTGTTGATTAGTATTAGGCTAACAAAATTGTCAGGCACCTGGCAGACCTCTCCCTCGAGGAGTTCTTACCCTTTGGGGATATCAATAGGACTAATTAGGCGGAGTAAATCTTACAGATAGATTTCAGAAACTTTAATCATTATTTCGAGATATATATGTTCTGAGATATGTGAGATTCGGAGTATGTAAAAGCAATTCCTTTTAAGTTTTATTATACCCACCTATCAGACGGTTAACTAAGACTAACCACCCTAGGGTTACCAATATTACTCACCTTTTCAGGTGCAGCTCACTCTTTCCCACATAGCTGCAGTTGTCCTGCTCACACTTGTGCCTGCCCTGAGCGTGGGAGATCAGGTGGGTTTTGAGGCTCTCCGGGGTCAGACCTGCATACGAGCAGTCCTCCAAATGGCAGCGGTACCGTCGCTCCACTGTCTTCGAGTGACTGAGCTCATGTAGTTTCAGGGAATACCTGGAAAAGTTAAAACGCGAAAATTAAGCTAGTGTATCTCGATGTGGACCATGACAAAAACTCTGTCACATTTTTAAAACCCCTGCAGTACGTCTTTTTTTGCATGAATTGGAAAATTTTTAATTACATTAAATCAAGGCAAAAGTAATTCGCACCAAAGTCACGTTTCATGGACGGCAAAGACACGAGGCACGTCCACGTTCACATCCAAATCCAAATCCAAAATCCGACCATACCAGTTCCAGGCCTTGTCCACGTTTGTCCAGCCGCAGCTCAGTCAAAAGGACCCGCAAATGCAAATGCAAACTCTGCTAGGCAAAACTTTTCTGCACATCAATTACGGATGCTAATTAATCGAAACAGCTGAGGGTTCCCCTTCGTGTTTGGCCTGTTTCCCAGGGAGTTCTTGGTAATGGAGCAGCATTGGGATTTAAATAAGCCAGGACAGACTTAGTTGTCAATTCAAGTGGCTGTGTCATTGATTTAGTCGCCAACTTTCTTTGGAGGTTATCACATTTACAAAAGTCCCCTGAAGGACATTGAAGGAACTTAAAGCTCACCTGATTTTGTAAATTATACTTAGGATATGCTTTTCCATGCCTTGTTTTATGTAACTGCTTATGTAAAAGGTTAATGAAAGGGTTCTTGGGACCATTAATCAAAATCATATATTCATATCCATATGGACAACTAGCCATGTTCCTATAAACGCTGAGAACTCAGCAACTTTAAAGGCTAGACAGCTAGCTTAACATCCCTTCTAACGCCCACAAGCAAGCAAAGATATAGATATGCCTTAGTTCCACGTTCAACCCACAGCTTTGGTGCAAATAGGAAAAGTTAACAAATAACGTGTTTTTGGTAATCGTTTCTTATCGCTTTCCTTTGTTTTCCCCATCTCAGCCATACTTATTATGTGGAAGTTCCATACGTTCTCCAGGCTGTTTAATTTATTAAGAATCTTAAAATAGGCCCTATTAATGCTTGATTGGGAAAATTACATAAAATGGTTAATAAGGAAAAACAGTTCGTTAAAAATGTCGTCCTTATCTTTCCAATTCTAGATTATTACGTTTTAAATTCGTTAACAAAAAATAAACAAGAGGAAACGCTATAGTCGGCACTCGACTAAAATATACACGTTACTGTTTTACACAATTTTAAAATATTGATTTTGCTAGTGGAAATTCCTGAAGCGCCACCTGTTGTCGGAGAACTGATATTGACGTCACTGCCCATGTGGGGCCTTTTAACTTAAATTTCTTCATAAATAGCCAAATAATGTTCCGATTTGAAAATTCTTTGGTAAATCGATAGATATTGACAAAAATATGTTATACAAGTTCAAACGAAAACATACTCTATAATATTACTATATACTATTACTATATACTTACTATGTATATTATTTGTGGGCGTTAGAGTGGAACTTTCTATCACGTAAAGTCCCCGAGATATAAGCTTTTCTACAAAATGCGAAAACCGTCTTTTAAGCTTGGTGGGCGAATGGGTGGGTGTGGCCGGATAAGAGTACCACTATAAGATGCGCTAACATTCTACTGAAATTCAACCCTCTAGCTCTAATAGTTCTCGAGATTTCTGCGATTTTAGTTTTTCGTGATTTGTGGGCGTTAGAGTGGGCGTGGCAGGATGATGAAATAAACTTGCGCTGTCCAGAGACCTCAAGAATCTTTATGCTTAATCTCAGCTTTGTATCTGTTATAGTTCCTGAGATCTCAGCGTTCATACGGACGGACGGACGGACAGACGGACATGGCTCAATCGACTTCGCTATTGATCCTGATTAAGAATATATATACTTTATAGGGTCGGAAACGCTTCCTTCTATCTGTTAAATACTTTTCAACGAATCTAGTATACCCATTTACTCTACGAGTAACGGGTATAAATACAAAAAAGTTTCCGTTTAGTTCAAATATTAGCCAGAATCGGAAGATGATAACATAGATTAGAACGCCTATAAATATGGAGGAGTTGAATTCCCAATTTATACATTTCAAGAGATCTGTTCTTAGCGAAACATCAAGATTGACGATGAGCTCCGCATTGAAGTTAAGGACAGCTATGGCCAAAAAGTAAAGAAGAGCTGACTTAATGACATATTAAATATTCTAAGCTGACTTCTGGTTGTGCTTGGATGTCTCCTGGGAATAGGACACTACCAAAGAGATGAAAACTTTGTCGCTAAGGGCCTTGAGGTGGTCGCTGTATTTGGGAACCCATCAGTCCATGATTAAACTAAGACCGAATTGGCAACTCCAAATTCCTCATAGGAAACGGCTGATGATTTTGTGAGGAGATATAATGCGCAACGATCCCAGAAAGTGGATGGTGCATCGGGCCATTGGTGGCAATCGCTAAGGCCATCCCTAAGAAAGGCTTTTATATGCTACACCACTTATAAAGTTTAAATAATTATGTTTAAATAAAAAAAACTTTTGTTAAAGAAACAGAAAAGCTAACTAAGAAATTGTCAATATAATTTTACGCATTAGATATGCATCGAGGCAATACCCTTCTGGTTCTGATCTGTATAATAGGGTTTCTCAAGTTAATTGTCCTTGGCAAATCCTTTTTTCCGAATAAGATTTCTGAAATTCTCAGTTCTTAGCCACTCTTTATTTCCACAAAGCATCGGTAATTTGCTTAGCTCATTTGGCATTCAAGGAGGAAAAGATTCTTCTTAATAATGCGCGACATTAACAAAGTTTCAATCTTTAATCTAAATTCCTGTTACGAGACAAGCACCGAGCAGCGGACTCGGGGGTGTAGAGGTGGAGGTGGCATTAAGGGCTATGGGGCGTGGCCAGTCTGGAGAATGGGGGTAAGACAACATTGTCATGCATTTCTAATGATGCCATCGCGGAGTCGAGGAGGAGAGGGGGGTCGAGATGGGGGCGTCGTTGATATGTGAAATGTCACTTTGTATGGAGTTTGAATAGCAACGACAATGACAAAGACAGCGACAGCGACAGAACAGGATGACGAGAAGGGAAAAGCCAGGAAAACTGAGAGGGTAGCGGGCGGCGGTAAATGGAGCAGATGGGTGGGAGACAGCCGCTCCTTGAAGGTATTGCAGGACTTGACAAAAGGATGCCATTTTACCTGCAGGAGTTGCCGTAAATTGTTCTTGTTTCTGTTGCTACCGTTGCCCGGGATAATGGTAGCAACAACAACGGAATCGGGACAACAGGAACACCAACAAACAAGAAGCAACATAATGCTGAAAGAAAGCAAAGCGAATTAGATGCAACAACAACAACAACAACGCCAACAAAACTACCAACAGTGAACAACAAAATTATCTTTCGCTCGGTTCGTTTTCCCAGCTCCCAGTTGTATTTTCACCTCCAACATTAACTTTTATTTCCTCAAATGCATTTTCCAGACTTCGTCTTCTCCGGCAAGTTCTTGAGTTTCTCCAGCTATAACAGTCTGTCTCGCTAATACGTTTGCCTCTCTGCCCGGAGAGGGGAGGCAGATATGTTCATAAGCCCAGACCAGGCCACATTACTCCCTAAATTAAATTGCAGCAGACTTGGGCTAATTTGAAGCAGCTTGTTGTTCTTCTCGAAACAATTCCAATTCACATTTTATGAAAGTCAAAGACAGCTTGCCTAAGAAATCGTCATCCTGTTACCACATAACATCCATTATCTGTTTGAAAATTGCACAAATATTTTCCTTAAGTTTGTGTTTACTGGCTGTGATTACAACAGTTTGGAATCTCTATTTCCATTCTCCATCGGCAGGTATAGGAACTTATTAATAAACAATAAATATTTCCCCTAAGCCTAGTTCTTTTAAAATAATTTAAACATTAGGTGTCAGCATCTAAGCAATGCGGATATTAACCATATTTTCGAGTCAGTCACATAACCAGGCTTAATTTCCAGAAGCTGTTCAGACGGGAAACGCCAAGAGAATTCACAGGGATCCCTTCAATGCTAGGATGTTGTGATAGGATAGCATATCCTGGCGTCTCCTGGCAGCAGCTTCGTTGCCGATTAGTTGACGAAAACGCCTTGCGATGAAAACTTTGCCCTTTTCAACGCTGTTCCAAGCTGTGGAATGGGCTAGGGCTGAGCTGTCATCAGCACCCCCTCGGAAAGGAGAAGCCGGAGTGCAGCAGCTGCAGGCCAGGACGGAGCTGTTGGCTCTGTCCGGGTGTTGTGTCAACTTTTGCACGCCATCCATTAGAGGGATGCTCGTTCCCTCTACGGATGCTCCGCCCCTCTGTCCCTCCTCTGCCGCTTTTGCCACCGAAAACGCTGAGCAAACATGTCGCGGGTGCGGCAGGTGCAAAATGTATCCTGCTGCTCATTGTCAGCTGCACAAGGATGCAGGATGGGCGGATAGGCGGATGGGTGGATGGGCGGATGGTTGGCGGTTGGTGGCCTCTCAGCCCCAAGAAGGACTCCTGTCTTTGGCTGTCTTAGACAATCGCATGTGTAGTTTGGAGCAGCTGAATGTTTGCCCTGGTGCGCTCGCATTGTTGTTCCCCAAACTCGCATAAATATTTATGACAGCGTCTTTCTTGTCTTGTCTTGTCTTTTGGGCGCAAACTTCTGTGCCGCGGGCGTTAGTCAAGTCAGCCCCCTTGCAGACGGCTTCCGGTGTCAGTCACCAGGATGTGGGCATACACCAGTGCTGCCAATATGGCGTTTTCCCCAAAACAGCCTACATTTTCAGTATCGTGCAATATGGTCTTGGAATTTTTGCCAGTGAAAATAAACTAACTCTCCCCTTATGTAAGTTTTATCAATTATGGCTTTATAATTCACATTTCCCTTTAATCTTGATAATTACAGCCTTACGAATACAACCAGAAGTATATTCATAAAATTGAATTGAATTCAAACTAAGTTTTTACAGAAAGTAAATGAGTGCCTTACTAATTCAAAGCAGCTCTCCACGTAAACATATTTTAAGAATACTTAAGAGTTGACTTTTTAAACAGACGCAACACTAACCAAGCCGTCTCTTAAATATATTTGTTTCTCGATTTAGTTTACATATTGTAAAACTTTCAATTAGCAACATATAGAAAACTTTTTAAATTTATCAAATTTTCTGCTTAAGTGTAATCTAAGTGACGGGACTATAAGAGACCTGGCAGTGATGTCAGTCACATGAAGGGCTTAATAACTTCTTAAATAATAAATCATCTTATTGATCCACAGGTGATGTGTATAACTATATTGCCATTTAAGTTTGACATTTGTATTGCAAAAACCCAAATAATTCGTAAGAAGTATATTCTGAGCCCAAGTGCATTGCCTTCTCAAGGTTCGACAAGCAACCCGAACACAAAGTGCTTGTGGCATCACTAGTGGACACCCAACCACCTCCACATCACCTCCTCTTAGCTGTGCTCATGTAATTGGTACGTAAGTCTTGTCTTGTCTTGCCTCTTGTCCTGGCCCACTGAAGTTGAGAGTTGTTCCTCGCTGGCGCGACATTAGCCGGATTTTGATGCCTTGGCCCGTGCTGCATGTGAAATTAGTTGTTGCACCGCACCAGCCAACCAGACAACCACCCAACGCCGACCGCCCACCTATCTGCTTGCGTGGGGGCGTGGCAACATTTATATACCATGTGTAATTAGGGAAGTGCCAGGGATACCTTCCTTTCTATTCCTTCATTTGGACGACTCCTTGGCGCTTATCTGGCAAACTTGAGCGAAACAAAAATCGTTGCAGGAAATTACCGTTAAATGTCACCCTTGCACTTGTCTAACAGCCCACCCCCAACCTCCTTGTAACCCCTTTCAGCGATACGTGTGTGTACTTTCTTGACTTTGTTTGGCTTTGTCGTTGTTATTAATGCCTGGTCGGGTCTTAACTTGAAGTTTTTAATGTTCCACTCTGCCCGTCTATTTGGATTAGCTTTATGGCACGGGCAATGGGATTTGAATGCGACGCCTCCGCATATGGATATGCAACATGGATGTGCGGATTGTCGGTAAGAAGGCGGTAATTGTGGGTTTTCTATGTGACATTCTTGTGAACGTCCTCCTGTTTACCCAGTAATAGGTTCTTGAAGGGTTATGGTTTCCATTTATTTGCATATTTTTGAAAGGGATGAAAGTATTCATTTAAAAACCAAAAGCATTTCCAGGAAATATTTATCTTTTGAGTCAAAAGACTTCCATCTAACGATTCATTTATTATTCGCAGCAGGCGGTCACTCTAGCATCTGTAACAAACAGTCACATTAACTAATCTATACACACTTAGTTGTAAGCGCAATGTATTCCTCTCCCTTACTGTTGCATAAAGATCAAGCTAACGAGCACTATGTGTGTCCTCTTCGCACGATCAGCAAATTACACTAATACAAGAAGAAATTAGGCTAGGATAGAATAAGAAAAAGAAGTAAAGAACACTTCGTTTTGGACAACAGAAGAGAAAAACATGTCGTTGCAGTGACTTTAGATACGAGGGGTTTTAATAAATTTTACTCGCAATATATATTGTTAAATTTGGCCAACTTCTATTGAAATAACTCCTTCAGATTATGGGTTTAGCCATCTTCGTTTATATAATCAATCTCCCTACAATTTTCCTTCAAAACTACTACATGGAGTTCCCAGGGAGAGCTAGCACTCTGATATGACGCTCATGAGATGGGGTAGACAACTAGTTCGGCCAAACAAAAACACAACCCAAACTTGCCGGCAACGGAAAACAGAAAAAGGCAGCTCAAAACACTTGCCAATGGCCATCAACAACAGCCAGAGCCCGAAGTGAGATGGGTGATTGGGACTGAGACATAAGACTGAGGATTCGAACAACACGTTCCAGTGCCAGCCGACCACAAACCGAACAATGTCCGACTCAATTTCGCAGATTCATAAAAATGAATGAATGCGATGTGGCAGTGGAATCCCTAAATCCTCCGATAGACCGGCCCGGCGTCATTGGAAATGGAAAATCAAGTTTGTGAAATTGACTCTCAAGTGATGGAACGTGGGGGTGGGCATGCAGCATGGGGCATGGAGCCGAGATCACTGGAGGACGACGGCGACCATTAAAATGAATTGCACTGCACTTTGTGCCATCAACAGAATCAACTGCCGGCAAACGAATGATGCACCATAGGAATGACTTAAAATACAAAATAAAATAAACCAAAAGGAAAAAGGAGAACGGACCAACCCAAGAAAAACAACAGCTACCACGGGGGAGAAGGGGCGGCTGGCAAATGCAGACGGATCGGAAAAGGCACTGGCCAGAGCAAGATGGCGAGAGACAGCAGATGAAACCGAATCCAAATCCGAATCCGACTCCGACTCGCAGAGGCAGCCAACAGAACATTGCACGCCATTTCAATAAAAGTGAATTGCCCGACGCTGCGATGGCGACGACGTCGTCAGCGGACGCCTCAAACTTCAGCCGCTGCCTCCTGCAGAAGGAGGACCCATCCCGACTCGTCCTCAGCGCTGGCGAAAGTATCCGCAAAGGACATCAGTCGGCGATGGAAACGTGACACGACCAAAGAACTAAGTTCGCTTTTATTACTGAAACAACAGTAGAATTAAATCAACTAATAAGAAAATTTAGTTCTTTCTGACTACTTGCTTAACTCAGATATGATAAGTTTTCCACTAATTTAACTAAAAAAGATTTGTATTTCGAACGATTAGCAATTACTTGAAGATCGTCTTAAAGATTTGTATTTAATTTGGTTACTCTTCTCAGTTCTATTTATTAGTCAAGCCGCATTTTACTCCTTTTTAGTTTTATGGAGTATGGTATTACACCCACATCTTAACTAGTAGTCAACTATCAAATTGCAATCTTAATCGATACAGTTATATCGAAGATATAAACCCGAAAGCCGCTTCGTTTTGCCATCTCTATCACTTCCAACTCGACGAGATGCCAGCTAAAAGAAGCGACCGTAAAAGTTGAGTTAGCTGGAGTCTGGAATTCCGGAAGCGTGTGTAGCGCTCCGCTGTTGACATGACTGACGATGTCGTCGTCCTCGCCGGCCTCGTCGCCCCCTCGCGTGTCCTGGGACTAAGGCGTACTCAAAGTTTTCCTTTACTCAGCCAGCTACTCCACTCCGCGCCACTCTCCGGCAGCTTTGCTGGCCACTTGGTCTCGTTAGTCGTAAAAGCAAAGTATCTACATCAAGCGAGCACAACAATAACTTCAAATGAGCATTTTAATAAATTTTTCAAATAATCACTTGAAAAGTGGAAAATTCTCTGCCCCAGCGACGAGTCTCAGTCTCAGACTTAGTTCCAGTCCCCGTTTCCATCTCAGTCCCGATTGCAATTCAACTTAATGTTTGCTTAAGGAATTAGTTGGCAGAGGCGAACGTGAAGTGGAAAAAACTTCGCAAGTTATGAGTAGTTATGAGGAGCAACGGAATTGGACGATGCGATTTGGATCTGCCAGTGCTAATGGGTTTCTTTGGGATGTGGCAGGGGGGAATGTATTGGAAGAGTGGGAAAGGCGTCCAAAATCTATGAAGCGATAGTATGGTGATTGCCATTTTGGGTTGGAAAATCCGTATCAATATCAAAAAAGATCCATTTTCCGGATGGTTAGCATAAACAAAGAAAAGTATGTACCTTTAGGTAGCTATGAGTTGTTAATCAGAATCACCTTAACTACTCCTCCTCATGTACTCGATGGTTTAAAATCCGTAACGGTGCTAGAAAGTATGCTTTAACTTTTAACTCTTTAAATACTAAATAAAGATAAATCCATTTGAATTTCTTATCCAATTCAACTAATTATTATATTATTCTAACATAGAAAAATGAGTTTACACCCAAAAATTAAAATCAACCCAAAATGTATTTTGCAATGTCAAAATACAACATACCGAAAAACATTTACTAAAATATCGCGTTAGAAGTGGACATTCTAATAATGTTTTTGGTGGTCCCTAAAGGGAAGAATACGGAATTGCAAACGGGCACAAAACCCAACTGTTGTCTTTTCTGCTCGTATCTTTGTTTATCCGTAAAAATATTTATTTTCCGGAATGGGGAAATTGCAGTTTTCGGTGGAATAGCCGCAGGCTTGATTTGCGAGTGCATTGCATACTTTGTGGCTGCAGTCCGCATATGGGGGTGTCCTCAACATGCCCGCGTTTTTTGGCCGGAATGCCCAGCACTTAATGAGTTATATTTTGTTGTATTATTTCGGTTACTTATTCTCACATGCTGCAGCTTGGAATTTTTAATTAATGCAACACACAATCCGTGCGCGTGCATGGACTTCATTTGCAGGAATTCCCAAACCGCCATTTTTTCCGGCTTTCTTGTTGTTTATTTGAGACTTTTATAATGCCAAACTATTTGGGCGATTTTCGGGGACTACAATAAATTGCATGACGTTTTCATAAGGCACACGCTTCTGTTGTAGCCAGTTGAAAGCTCGGGGCTATTCCGAGTTTCTAATTAGCGGTCTTTGTTCCGTTTTCAAAATTACACGGACATGAAAATAAGTTAGAGGAGGGTCTAAAAACTTGAAAGTACTGCGATTTAATTGAGAACTTAGCATGTGTTACTCACTTTTTGGCCAGTATTTTCCCACAGGTTCCACACTGAAACTTGGGCTTGGGCTGATCCTCAACTTGTTTCTTAGCCAGCGTGGCCTTGTCCTGATCCTCTTTTTTGGAGTGCATGGTGGCCATGTGGTTCTTCAGGTTGTGCCTTCTGGCAAACTTTTGGTGGCACTGAGTGCACTCGAAAATCTTTTCATCGGTGTGATTTCTTAGATGAGCCCTCAGGGAGTGCTTCTTGAAGCTCTTAGGGCACAAGGGGCACTGGAGAAGCTCGTTCTTCCCAATCGTCCCGGATCGTGTGTGGAATATGCGGTGATAGACCAGATCGGACTCATATTGAGACTTAAAGCTACATTGATCACAGGAGTAGATGGGTTTCTTTTGTGCTGCAGATGGATTGGCGCAAGATGAGGTGCTGGCCAGGGGCTGACAGCTCCGCGTGTGCCTTCCGAGTGCCTGGGCAGACTGAAAGCTTGTTCCGCAGCTCAGGCATAGGTGATTATCTGCTGAGTGCACTTCAGATCGGTGTTGGGCTAAGCTCTGAGGGGAGTCAAAGGTTTTCTGACAATTCGTGCATTTGGAGTTGAGATTTTTGCTCCTCTTGGCGGGTGGGTTAGAAGCTGGCTCCTGTAGGACTTCCCTTAGCATATGCTCTATTTCTTTTTCCGGCTCTGAGGTGGACTTTTTCGGTCTAGCCTTAAGTCTATGTTGCATCAAGCTGCGGTGGCGGCGCGCCTCCAAAGGGGTATTGAACTCCAATCGACAGATGGCACAGTAATACCTGGCAAAGTGGTGCTTGTGCTTTTCATGACGCTGGAGAGCCAAGCGGGATTTCTGTGGAGCACCACACAGGCCACATCGAAACCTACTCTGGTACTCGTCGGCTGCAGTTCCCGAAGGCGGATGGTCAGGATGCTCCGAGGCGAAGTGACGGCGTAGTTGGAAGTTGTAGAGAAAGCCCTTTCCGCAAGTGGCGCACTGGAGACGCCTTCTTTGGGCTATACATATGGGAACCGATCTGTTCAGGGCCAAGATAACTTCTTTATGAGAGGGATGCAGCAAGTGAAGCCACATGGAGTCGTTGGTGGTGCACTCGAACTGGCAATAACTGCACCAAAAAGACCCACCCAGCCTTCTTGTAAGTTGCAAGTGCTCCTGGGACTGCCAGTGATGGAGAAAGGCCTTCTCAGTGTTGGCGTAGAATCTGCAGGGCAGGCACTGAAAAGGAGACTGCCTCACTATGCTGGCCATGTGGCTGAGGATTTCCTGCAGGCAAGTTTTCCTCTTCAGGCGACTCTGCTGCTGCAGCCTCCTGTAATGGTAGTGGGAGATCAAGTGCTTGCCCATCAAGTGCCTGGCCATCGTGTGCCGGCAGAGATCGCATCGCAGAAGATTGGCTCTCCTTGGACGTTTCGGGGGCTTCGTTACTGTCTCGTCCGGATTTGTTTCCACCGCGAAGTCCTTGCTCAGGGTGAGCTGCTTTCCCAGAGTAGCCTGCTCCAGCTGGCATTCCGCATCGGCCCTTTTCACATGATAGCCACTCCGCAAATGTTGCTCGTAGTTCATGCGACTCTTCAGTCGCCGGCAGCAGATGTTGCACCAATAACTGGCTCCAGGTTGCTCCAGCCTGGTCAGATCTATGTTCTCGCGATACTCCAACTGCTTGCTACCTGGAACCCACTTCCCCTTTGTATGATCCTCTGGAGGATGGGTGTACGTCTCTTCCGGAGGCTCATCCCAACTTGGCGAGAGGCGTTCTATATGCTGGTGTCGTAGGTGGGGACGGTGCTCCGGTTTCCACTTACCACCTGTGTGGGTGGCTGGCACAGTGGGTGGTGAATGACGCCTTACATCGTAATCCTCCTCATCATCTTCTCCATCAAATTCATCGTGCTCTTCGTCCTCCTCCTCCTCTTCACTTGCTTCTGGAGAATCATGATCAAAGTTGAGAGGTTTAAACACCGCCTCCTCGTGATCCCTTACTGCCTTCAGCAAAGGGTCGCCACCGGGCGCTGTCCAGGACTCATCTTTGCTTCTCTCCTGTCGTGCCACTGATCCCGTCTTTCCACCAGTGGATACGCTTTGCAGTTGCAGCGAAGAGAAGAACAGATCAGCTCCCAGTTCATATGGTAGGTCGTAGGCTTCCGTCAGGGACTTGGAGGTCTTTCCACCATGACTGGCAGCCGTTTTGCGGAGGTAGCTACTTGGAGCCTCCGGTTCAGCAAAGTGAAAGCTATCGTAGGTGTGGTCCAAGTTGCTGCTACTGATGATCGGCGGGGAAACCTGAGAGGGAGTGGAGGTTGTAGCCGGTCCATCTGTTGCTGGCGCCGCAACTTGCTTCTCCGTCAGAAGACAGTTCCGCTTCCGGTGCTCAATGTACTTTGCGAGTCCGACTATTGTGGCATTGCACTTGATGCACAAATGAGTGTCCTCCAGATCGTCTGTGTTCATGGTAATCTGTAGAAAAACAGGACAGATTTTGTTTTTAACTGGAGAAGTTAAGGATAGTGGCATAAAAAAGTCCTTAAATACTATTTTAAACTGCTTCAATAGTTATCCCCTCTTCCTCTGGAAATATGAAGAAAATTCTTAGATCTCCTCCACGATATCTAATCTGTATACTTCCCATTCGATGTTTTGGATAGTTCAGTTTTGTTTTCTTTACTGCATTCAGATAGCCCTTGGAAAGACCGCAACTGGATGATTTGTGGTGATCCAGTCTGGTGGCTAAGCTCTTCAGCCCTCGCCTCTTCATGGAAGCTGCACAAAATGAACTGGCCCTCGACTCCGGCGGGGTAATATTTCAAGCCCGCTTTATTCATTAGCCGGAGATCCACCCCCGTCCACCAGTCGTCGACCCGAGCCCTCAACCCTTGCGTCACAGCAACAGTCATGCCCACCGCAGCGTTGACATGGCCGCGTCCCGTTTTCCGAGCTGCTCCACGTTACGTATCCGCCTGTTAGCCGGTTGTCCTGTGTGTTGCGGCCTGTCAGAAATGAAGTTTATGGCGTCTGTGTTGCGTCCGTGTAACCCGCTGCCTCTGACTCAGTCTCTGTTTCTGTCTCTGCCTCTGTCTCTGCCTCTTTCCGTATCCTGCTGTCCCTTTCCGGCCCTTTCACGATGCTAAATGTAAAAGTGTCATTTCCGCCATATGTGAGCGCGATGAACGATGCGTCGAAGTCGACGTTGACGCCAGCAACTCTGATGTTGCTGCTGTGCCGCTGGTGTTGCTGTTGCTGCTGCTGTGTTGTCGTCTCGGTTGTTAATAATTTCAGCGCACAATTGCAGCAACAACAATCGCTGGCAGCAGTTGGCGGGAATTTATACAAACGAGGCCCATGTCTGAGGTTAAATACGAAAAACATAACAATTCCAATGCAGAGCCCCATTCCCATTCCCATTACTGCTTCCACGCCCGGATGATATGGATCCATGTGGGAATGCGGGATGTGCGATAGGGCTTATATGGGCGATGGTCCATGCCAAACATCCGCGATTGCCGCCTTCATCCGTCTAACAAACCAGGACCATATTGGCCACACCCCCTGCCACCCCAATTGTTGTTTCTGTGAGTGATAAACGAACATTTGTTTAACAATTAACGTGCTAGCAGCAGCACATGCAGCGCCTTATTTATTGGCTTTAGACTTCAGCCACTTTTTATGGGGCAAGTTAAGGCTAAAGGGGAGGTGACACTTTGATGTCTTTGCTAATTAGTGTTTAAATTAACATCAAAATGAAGTATATTTTGTGAAATATTTCAACTTCCGTTCAAGGGGTATTATAAGTTTTATTGCTTCTATAAAATAGAAAGTTAAATGGGAATTCAGAGAAACTAAAGCAAGATACACATTCATGTTTCGTGTGAATGAGTCTCTGGCCACAGCAATACGCATATGTTAATTTCCAGCATGACTCTATTGAGGAATTAAATAATAAAAGCAGTTAAAATCCTGCAAAGCACAATTGTCCCATTATTTGCATTTGTGACAACGACGACGACGATCCAATCCCCGACCCTAGCCCAACTCCAAACCCAATCCCGATCCAAGGGAATCCATGCTGGAATCATCGTCAGCCTCTGCGTCATCAACAACAATAAAAGCAATGGGGCAATGGCAGAACAACAAATAACATGACAATGTTGTTGCTGTTGCCACACGTTGTTGCTGTTCTTGTTGTTCGAGGGCATCATCAGCAAACACTGAACAACGCAATCGAGGAGGATGCCATACGGACGGGCGGATGCCAATGGAGGCCACGAGAAATCCTCGTGGTTGTTTGATTCGAAAATTGAGTTTTAGCGAGACAAATAAAAATAAAACTTAGAACAGCGGCAACAGCAGCAACAACACCAGCCAGCCAAAGCGCAGCCATTAAAAAGGAGTTATCACCCAATTTAGTACCACAAGCGCGAAATAACGCACACACATTCGCAGAGGGAGGGGGTCGAACGGGCGCGTACTAGTGTGTGTTTGTGTGTTCAACCCGTCGCCGTCAGTTGGAGCGGCAAATATGTGGGGATCCTGTACAACATGGCATTTAATGTCGCACCCCAAACGGTCGGCAAACGAAAGGACGACCAACTGAGCTGACATGCAAATCTTTGTTCTAATTTTTGACATATTATATTATAATATTTTTATTAATTTTTTACGAAATAGACGAATATAAAAGTTTTAATATTAAAACAAAGGAAAAGGTTCGATTTCTTCTATTCTATTTAGATATTACAAAATGTTATAGTATACATCTGTCGGATCTGGGCTTACACCCTCGTTCATTTCGTCGGTGTTGATGTTAAGGTTCATGATTGTCTTTTTGAAGAGTTCCCTTGAGCTTGTTCCTATTGACTTGCTTTCTGAATGACTGTTCTCTTTCTTCGCTTCCTCTTTTATTTTTTGAGACAAGTAATTCAGCTATGCCTGCATCACTATCGTCATCTCATTCACTCTCACTTACTAAGCAACTCAAGGGACGACGTACAGGAATATAGCTTTGTCACACTTACCTTTTACATCTCGTTAAAATGATATCTTCGTTCTCTTACTAGCATAACATGAGAAGGTAACGAGCTAAGAACCAACTAGAAGAGAGACGACTAACTTGAAACGAGACATTGAACTAGAAACGAGAGGCACACAACGGCCGTTACATTCAAATAAAATCATCGTGCCACGAGATATAAAATAGTACATGAAGTCCAATATGTATCCCTCTTAGATCTCAGGAATGCTTTTATTAATTAAATCATATTTTTAAATTTAAATTGAAACTTTAATTGGCCACAATTAAATTTTTACAGTCATCATTCGCGGCGATTTCCATCTGCTGGAGCCAACTAAGTTCTTAAAATAAACCAAAAAACAAAAACAGGTCAAATCGCCTTAAAATACTTAATTTGATGGAGCTTAAGTGGGGTGTCATAAATATATCGATTTAATGGTAAAAACTGCAAAAATTCATTGCCAAGCAGGCCGGCCTGGCAGCTTGACAAACGTCATCAAAAAATTTTACGACTACTCTTTTACGAACGGACAAAATAAAAAAATTATATGCCACATAAACCTGATGACCGTTCCGTCCAGCGCGAATCGCGCAGCACTCAACAGGTAGGAACCGACCAACCCAGATCCCTGATCCCTGGTCCCCGGCTCCGGATGTCGGAGTCATCCCGAGAGTGGCATCTGCCGGCGATTGTAAAACAGTGAGGGGGAAATTCAATTGGAAATTAAAAATGCCTGGCAGCTGACGAGGAGAAATCAAGAGATGCCCATAATAATAAATTCGGCGTTGTAAGTTATTGGTCATCGTAAACGGGAATATGCTAATCGATTGCATTAGCCCGATAATGATGGTAATTAGTTCTTTGTTTCGCTCGAAAGTCTCTTTAGCTTTTACAGGGACTTATCAAGAGATTGCAATGCTAAAGGGAGCAGATCTATATATATATCTTTCAAATTATTAAATCTTATAATAAGAAATGCCCAGAAATATCACTCAGTAAACCCATTTCAAAACGCATCCTTGATCGACTGATCGAGCCATTAGCACTCAAAATAAAGTCAATACCAGACAAGCCATGAAATCGAACAGAAAACGTATGGCTGGAATTAACTGCAAATCGTTAACAATAATTCAGCGGGCAGTTCAGCAGTTCCACAGCTCATTGAAGGAAAGGGGGGCACAGGGGTTCAGATCAGACTAGTTTGCATTTAAGCCGAGGATGATCGTACATTTTAATGGGCATACTTCACGCCGCTCGCGCTCCCTCTGATCGGAGCCACTCCGATCTCGGCCCACGACGAATTCATAAAGTATCTCGCACTTTTTAATGATTTCTGAGTTACAAGCTGGCCGAGTGGGATCTTTAACTCTGATTTCCCAGCAACTCGCAGCAGGTACAATGCAACAATTTGGCGGCAACTTATGACAGCGCAACCATCGCAAATAAACTCAAATGGCACCACACTAAAAAACTGATCTGGCCAGCGAGAATTTATGCAGCTTTTTGTGGCCAACAAGAAACGACCAGCAGACGAGGCGGCTTTCGTGCGCACTTAAATTATGAATATTACCAAATGGGTCAATTCGAAATAAATAAGCAACGGTCTCGGTCTCGGCGATCCCAACTCTCCCGCCCGGGCTGGGCCTCTGCGCTTTGGCCAAATAGAGTTGTCTCTGTCGCAATTTCTCATTGAGCTGTCGCCCGCTGCCGACGAGGACTCGTTTCCTGGCCAACACGCATCCGCACTCCCTTCCTGGCCAGCTTCCTCTGGGTACTATGGATACTATGGATAGCGATGGGCATTGGGCGGCCTCGCCTGCAATATCGCTCATGCATCTGGTAATCTATGCGCAATTAGTGGCGTACATCAGATTTAGTGTTCTGATTGCTTTTGCCTCTTCTCTATCTGTCTCGCTCTGCCCGGCCGATTATTGGCCGTAAATATGATATGGAATTTGTTGTTATTCCCTTCCTTAATCTTTCCGACTGGCTCATCCGCTAGATGTTTAGGAGACGGCCAGGAAATGCATTTATTTATTTTCACTGGCAATACATTTAGCCAGGCGGTGACTTTGACTCTTTGAGTCGTAATCACAACTTAATTATTGACGTCACTTTATGGAAAAGCCTATGAAAATCATCATGATCTTATTATAAATGAGCTTATTTTAAAGATTAAATGGAAGGCCATACTGGGAAACCATGTTTTTGAAGTCCTTCTTTGACAGGAAATAGAAACTACTATGCTTTTTGTACGTTAATTTTTGTAAAGTAAAGTAAAATCTAAATAAAATAATTCGAATTTGTTTTATTAGGCATACTTACGAGAAAGTAATCCAACTCACAGAATGTTGAATGGATTATCTAACATTTTAAGCTCTTATGACGACGTCTAAACTTACTATTTATTTCCAAGAAAGTAACCGATAATCGATTGTATGTTTATCCGTTAAATAGTTTTAACGATTAAGACAGCCTATAAAATAGTTGGAATCCGATCTTTGGACTTGAAAACTTAACAACTTTTGGTTAAATAAGAATTTTATAAATTGCGATCTCGCATATCTCGAGAAGATCTATCTATTTACTTTCAGAAATCTTAGATCACTATTTGAAAGATACCATATTTAAATACATACAAAGTCTAGTACTTGTATTGTAAAGACATTAAAAACTTTTACCTCAATTCTTTTTTTATAAAAAGGAATATAGTATGAGTATATTGTTATTGCGTTAAAAACTAAAATTTTCGTATTTTCTCTTGGCTAACCCCAGAGTTATTGTGATGATCTTGCCCAGAAGCATCCGCGCCCACAGAACCCGCATCCAATTCGAAAGCGATAAAAGACCCGAAGAGCCTATCAATATATCCATCAATTAGAATTTGCGCAGTTAGACCCCAGCCCATTCCCAACTCGGTGCATCCATCAGAGGGACTTCATCCGCTGGGCTCCTTGCACTCGGGCGATCTTTATGGCACCACAACCGCTCTGTGGGCGGAGGTGATAAATCCCTGTTAAGTGGCTCCCATTAATGCATCGACTCTCGTGACTCCGGGTGACTCTCCAATGGCTGCGGCGCTTCCGTTTGCTTTGTTTTTGACGCGTGGGATCGGATGAGTCGATCCCTCCTCCTCCCATCCTTCCGATCGTAAATTTCCCAATTTGTTGAGACCGCTCAGAGTTCACCTTCCACTTGTTTTTGGGGGTTTCCTCTTGTAAGACGCCTAAATTGCCGAGTGCCATAAATTTTGATTAGTATCATGCATTTGCATCAAGTGGGCGTCGGCCGAGTGGGTTTCCATTTAATTGTGGGCCAAGACAAATGACAGCGACTCCTCCATAACCCGGGATTTCTTTTCTGATCACAGAACAAAAATGCATAATTAAATAAACAGACAGCTGAGGTCCTCGCGCTGGTCATAGATTTTACGATGCGTTTTTAAGGCGCTCCGCTCATAAAATTAAAGATTTTACGAGGCTGCCATTATTTGACAGTAAACAAGGCCAAACAACCAGAGACCCTGTCCAGGTCCAGGTCCAGGTGCTCTGAGTCCCGCCAAACGGGCGTGACAGATTTGTCGACTCCGCCGCTGGCTGACCCGCTCTTGTCAGTTGTCAAAAAATTGTCGATGATGATGGCCATTAAACGCTCCGCCGGCGGACAATCAACCAAGCCGAGCCAAACCACAAAGGAGAACGGCATCAAAGTGACTTTTATTGTTCTTTAATTGTTGAACTCTGTTCCGCCGACTTGGTACGCGTTATGTGTACATAAAATTAAGTTTTATGTTTCGCCTGCCAGCGAGAAAGAACCATTTGAAATAGTCAACTCGAGTCCAAGTGACCCGCTGGTTTTTAGTGTGAAAATCACTTAAGCGCGTTTACTGAATTTACGACTCCAACGACTCTTCGAGGAGCGGGATGGGAAGTGTTTTCGCTTTTACGAGCTGCCAGCTATATGCAAGCTTATTAAAATGAATTAGCGATATTAGAATGGATATTACAAGTCAGTTTTAGGGAATATTTTTAATTGTTTGGTTTTGATTAGTGCTGTTTTAGGCATACGATTGGCTTAAAACTCCGTTATCCTTAACCCATCTTTCTTTTTTTTGTTGCGATGGCAATAAAATACATAGTTAGCATTCGATTTAACGGTTTATAAATTATAAATTCAAAATACGTGCTTTACCAAAAAAGTGAGTATCCTTTAGTATATAAAGCAGGGATGCTCAAATTCGTCTTACTGTAAACCATTTACTAACACAAATACAAAAAAGCGTGCTCATATCTAGTGAAGCTTTTGTATTGGTTTGCCACTGTGCACTGAGAGAGAGAGAAGAACAGTATTCTTCGCCTACAAATCCATCACTCATTTTACTCTCACGCCAAATGGTCCACTGCGAAATAAAGAGTAAAGTGCACACAGAAGTTAGAGAAGAATGAATTCCAGTGCAAGTGCTCGAAGATGATCCAGGAAACGACAAGAACAAAATATACTGTAGTTGGTGATGGAATGAGGTGGAAAGAGAAAAACAAAAAATTGTTAGTGGAATAGCACCGCGAGCGCTTAAAAAAAAAGAAAACAAATGAGCACTCAGGGCGTAGGCGTTGAGCACCCTTTCTATATTATAAAGTTTAAACAAGGTAATAGCTATTAAAACTTATAGAAAACTATAGTACATGTTTAGAGGGTTCTCTAACTTAGAATTAACTTAACAGCAAATGAACTTTAAAAAGTAAGCTTAAGAAGCAAAGAATTCAAGAAAGCCGCCAAACGTTACCACCCACCAGGAGCAGACCTTCTTAACAATCAACAAATGTTTGTTCATCTTAACATTTGAGCCCCGCAGTTGTCAATCAGGCATAAATCACGCCACGTCATAGCCAGGACCACAAGGCAGGACGGGACAGGAGAGGTTGGCCAGGAGGTCCATAAATCAGTCAGGAAAATACAATATAAAGGAACTATAAATATTTGTGTGATTGACGCTGCCTGCACATAAAAGTGGAATTAAAAAGACGTAAAATTTTTACACATTTATGGAGAGTCAGCAGCCAAAGACCCAAACACACACACATTGGGCTGATAAGGTCCTGGCCTGGATGTGGCATCAAAAAGAGAGGGAGCAGGGGGTGAGTGGCATCATAAAAAGCATAATTACGGGCATTTGTGCTAATGTGACTTTCTGGCCGCAGGCGTTGGCGTTCGCGTTGGCAAAACATTTCTTATCATGGCGGCAGGATGTGATGTGGATGTGGATGTGAGCGAGGATGCGATGGCCGGGGGAAGGAATAATGCAGGCTTGAGTTAGACGCCGAGCCGAGCTCTCGCATAAATCACTCATTATGAGGCGTAATTAATGCGACTATATGGCGACCTAAATTTTCTATAAATCATCAGATTAAACCCAACGCCTGGCATTCGTCCTGCCGCCGAGGAACATATGATGTGGATTCGTTTGTACTGGTGTACGGGTGTGTGTGTGTGTGTGCAAATGGATGGGCAGGAATCTATTGGCAGCTTGACTCAAGCTCGCCCATGCTCATCCAGATGGGCTAATGATGTCATCCCGAGGAACCGAGTAATGTTTATGGGGATAATTAAGCCACATCGGGCGTGGCCTATAAAGGATCTGGGATTAAGGAGGAAGCCATAATCGATTTTCAGATTTTGATGTACAAATTCAAGTCATTACATATATGTATAAATTTATTTCAAGGACAAAAACAATACATTTCTATCAGGTAGTTCTGAATGCAGGACGAGTCATTTCCGTAACCATTGACCCGTTTAATGGGCCCGTATAGGGCCAGCTTAAAGCCCGTAAACCTCACGACTCCTTCGAACTGACCCTTGCCAGGAGTGGTCAGCAATCTCACCCTGAACTCCGACTGGATGTCATCTGCCATGCGACTCCACTTGTCGGCAGTCAGCACCCAATCCAGATATAGTGTCTTGCAAGGTGGAGTATGTGTGCGAATGATCTTGTTGATGTTCCGGAGGATAAGGCGGGCGCCCCGCAGAACGTGTCCATCTAAACTGGAGACTTTTCTATGTTGCTGGCAGAGGCAATACTCGGTAGGGATCTGCGCCAGAGAACAGTCCCTTTTCTCTGGTATGGGTAGGAACAGACTTATTCCTCGTGGAATATTCCCCTTCAAGGCCCACAGATCCGCACTGCGTTGCTGCAATTGCTCATTCTCCAGAGACGTCATGTGGGGTAAGTCCAGGAGAGTGGCATGCAGATCGAATGTCGTGACCAGTCGTCGGTTGTTGATTTTTAAATTGGCGATGGCCTGGGGATATTGCTCCTCCAACCACCTTGGATAGCAGAGCACGGCCAGAGGCAGACTCTCCTCCACTTTTCCCTGCGTTGTGTCGGAGATTGGCCCCGTATTCAAGCCGTGATTGGAAACCACCAGCAGCAGTGTTTCCTTCAGCAGGTCATTCTGTGCTAAGGCCTTGAACATCTTTAAAAACGGCTTGTCCAGCTTTCGGCCGTAGTTAAACAGGTGATCGATGCCCTGCGTCCACCAAAGGAACGTAAAGAACCTGTGGGTGCTGTGATGGGGAAGCAGCTTTAATAGGAACTCCCTTAGCACCATCGCATAGTTATCCTTCTCGTTGCAGTGGGTTCCGAATAGTTGATCCTTTCGCGTTTTCAGCCACATTTCGAGCAGGGCAGGTCGGAGATAGAAGTCCGTGGGTGGATCTTTAAATCCCTTCGTAAAGAGACTCTTATCAATATTGTCCTCGCCCAGAGCTGTTTCGTAGCCAGCCTGCTGGAATAGCTTCCATATAAAGGGGCAGCTATCCAGACTGCTTAAGTTACAGGAAAATTCCTTCATCTCGGATCCACTAAGTCCACTCAGTAGCGGCATCAGATTGTTGAAGGTGTCATTCCCTATGCTAGTGAAGCCCTTAAGTTCCACGTGAGGCAGGGATAAGAGGAAGTTGGCTGTGCGAGGCATGGTCCGGCGGAAGTGCAATTGGGACATGGAGTCGAGGCCCACGATCAGCACGGACAAACTGCCGTCATCGGAGGCCAACTTTGGAGGAGGGAGACCCTTGGTATTCCGCAGCCATTCGTCGGCTGGATGGACGTAGAAGTGAACTCCGTTATAGATGCTCGTGCCGTTCTGGAAGCACTCGGCCCTTATGATATTCCGCATGGGGTTCAATTGTGTTATTGCCATCCGTAAGGAGGGGAAACTCCCGGCTGTACAAATTCCTATTGTCAAAATCTGTGCCCCGCTCCACTGCGTGATACTGGCACTTGAAGCTCTCCAAGTTCTCGACTTTGTACCTTGACCGTACGAACTCCATGTCCACCTCTGTCCTCAAGTAGTTGTAGTCACAGTTGCTGAAAGAGGTCAGGTTCAGTTCGCTGGCACAAAGGTCCCGGCGAAGGCCGCGCCACAGATACACCACATCGCGATCATTGGGTACCAGGGTCAGCATGCGACAGCCCTTGGTGTCCACGAAGTATCTCTCCACCAGGTGGTGCTCCTCGAAGAACAGGTAGTCGACCATCACGTCGTTGTAGTAGTAAACCAAAGAGAAGAATATCAAGCTAGAAAAGAAACAACAGCGCATACTGCACTCGCACATTTTGCTTATTTCTGTCGACTAAAAATTTTAAAAATCATGTGTAAAATCGGTAAGTATTGGATTTACCCAATCGTAAGTCGAAGGTTCAGTTTGGATATGCAAATATCGTCATCCTTTTTTCAACGAGATAAGTTTGATAAGAATGTTTTACAGGGGGAAAAAGCAGAATTAAAAAAGCCCACGTGATTTATTAGTTACCTAAAACGAAGTCTTTACCAAAAAGCCCATATTCATTGCTGTCCATCAAGGACATTCACGTATTCCATTTCTTTTTCTATGAACTGGTTTTAATCAAATCCACTTCATATCCTACCGAAACGGTCATTAAGAACAGCCCTTACGAGAACTTGTTTAATTTCTGGGCCACTTTTCGTAATTATTCGATTCAAGCTGAGCTCCTTTTTTAGCCCAACTCCTTTGGAAAATAACAATAAACTAAAAGGTCCACTCGTGCATAAAGCATTCCCATCCGCGTCCGGAGTTCTAGTCCACTCCAATCCTAGCCAGAATCAAAAAGATGTCTGGCAGAGACCGTGGGGCAGCAGCGTTAATTTATCACTTAACCTTCTTTAGCAGCCAAGTTTATAATTTCGATGGCGTCCATGGCCGACCCAAAGCGAGGATGACGACGAAGCTGGCAACTGCGGCACTTGAACGACGACTGCCCATCAGTGAAATGCCGGACACGGGAGTGAAGGCAGGGGGATGGATGGGAACACGGACACTGTCCACGGAGGGGCAAAGAGCTGCGGCACTGAGAAACTTTTTACTTCACTTTAAGGATTACAACACCTTCTGCAGTACGTACTTTTTTAAATCGTTGTTAGAAGGATTCCAGGATAAAGATTCAGTTAAATTGAGGAATGTTTTTCTTTTCAGTGCAGTGGAGCCGTTGGTAGAGAGCTCGAATAAAATAAAATAACAAACGGCTGCCGGGCAGTATATATATTTTTTCCCATTGTACATTTAGCCAACTGCTTCACCCTGATTCCGACTTCCCGACCCCCCTTTCCCGCAGTGACGTTGTCGTATTTCTTCAGCTTACGCATCAGCCCCAAAACCCCCCTAACCATCCTGCAACTCCGCTCCTGGTGTTGTCCTTTTTGTTGATGGTTTACGCTTTGCCCGGGCGCTCTTTGCAAAATGAAAATGCAAAAGGAATATTCATGAGGAGATTAGAATTATTTTTCGTGCTGTCATTTTCATTTTCACTCCGCCTCCTGCGTATTTCGTCTCGAAATGCCCTACAATGGGTTTCATTGGGTTTAACAATTTCTAGAACTAGGCGATGGTATAGTATCAAAGCTCTATAAAGAATTTTTGGAAAATATGGAACACTTTCAATTGAAATTAAAAAACATCTCGGCCAAAGGTTGCTGAATTCTCTGTGTTATGATAGCACTCCCAATAATCTATCAACAAAGGTCGTAATAAAGTAGCATTAGAATAAGTTACACTTTTGTTAAGAAAGTGTTTTAGTCACCACAGCCGAAGCCCAAAGAATTTGCATTGCTTTCCCCAACTCCTTTTCCATTTCCCTTTGTTTTCTTTGCTTTATTTTTTTCGCTGAGCGCGGGAAAAATATGATTTCTGTGTGCCAAAAGGGATTAAATTCACGCTCGTTTGTCCTGTTTATGATGAGTGCTGTTTGCCGCCGCTGCTCCTATATTCTCCAAGTGTTCTGCTTTCTGGCATAAAAGTTTAATGATACAAACAGCCAGGCACTGACATGAATCACCCGATGGCAGGCAGACATCTTTTCCCGGAGAGGAAAGCCCTAAAAAAGAAAAACCACCCGACCAGCGTCGCCGTCGCATTTAAAATATTTTGTGAAATTATTATGAAAATGCGTAAAGGGATTTAATAAATAACTGTAACTGCTCCTTACTCACCCCGAACCAGCCCCTTTACACCACCCCTTCCCCACCCATTGCTGTTGCTCATTTGCCTTTTCCCGCCATTCTACCGTAATTCATAATGTTGTTGTTTTTTCGCCGCTTTCCATCCAGACTTTTCCTTTTTATTGTGCATCTGTGTGGGATGTGGCCTTCTCTCTCCCTCTCTATCGCTCCTGTTGCTGTGTGGAATTATGTTTTATCCTGAATTATGGATTTTGTTTTGTTGTTTTCTGTCAAAATCATATTTTGTTCGCCACCAACCCCCCGGCTAACAAGCACCTCCCACTTCCACCTCTCCCCTTCTCCCCCACACCCACTTGATAACCCAAGCCCGACTCATTTACATGCTGAAAATTTCGCTTTGGGCACACTGAGAGAAATTCATACCGGGGGTCAACAAAAAAGTGTGTTTTTGGTAATAAAATTTCCGTTATCTTTGGCATCAAACAGAAGCATTTTCTTATATAATGTTGCTTCTAATGAACCTTCTATGAAATATAGCTAACTAGGTATTTGGTAACACCGAAATTCTTTTACAGTGTACCATTTCTGGGTTAGCTCAGCTCTCAGCTCTAGCCTTCTCTTCGCCATTAATGAGAATTTGTTTGTATCGACGCAAGTCGGCGGTCGAAGGGGGTTGAGAAAGAGGGGCGGGGTGGTCGACAGGGGTATTCCTTGCCCGCTTCGGTACTCCATTGGCTCGGCTTCTGAGATTAGTTGTAAATTTACAACAACACCCAGTCGGAGCAAAAAGTTTTTCAAATAATTTCTACTTAATGTTTAGAATTATTTTTAGCCGGAAATTAGAAATTATGAAGAATATATCACACAGGACCGAAAGGACACGAACGCAGAAAACCCTGAATGAAATGAATCATGCATCTCCGTCTTGTTACCATCCTAATAATGGCCAGAAAACTAAACAAAGTCGTAAATTGTGCACTTAACAAATGGAATTTGTTTATTTCGGTTGTGTTTTTGGTTTTTATTAATTTCTCTTTTATTAATTATTTTGGGTTGGCAGGGAGAATGGTGTTAAGTATAGAGTTTATTTGGAAAAGTAACGGAATGTGTAAAGTTGAAACAGAAACTTCCTCGAGATATAAGACTTAACTTACGATTCTGTTAAGAACATAATATAATAGAATAAAGGATTATCTATAACTGACATACATTCTTAATTCAGTAAACCCATCTATCCATGCCGAGGATATTCACGAATCAAAGCCTTAATTTGGGTAAATCTATATCCAAGCCGCATCCAACTTAAGCTGAATAGAGTTTCGAGGACCTCGATTCGACTGTCGGTTTGGGGACATAAACAAAATATCAGGTGAGCCCTTGTGGGTGACAAATTAATGAGAAGCTCATTAACGCACTGAATGAGGATTACGGGTTTGATTGAAGGTCCTTGGGGCATAAGTACGCCCACAGCCGCCGTCAGGTTATATAAACTGATAAGGAACAAACTGACACACACACACAGACATGGACTTTATACATATATCTCGCCCCTATTTGCAGTGCGCAACACCAGCAACAACAGAATGGGAATAGTCAGCGAAAAGTGTCATTATGTGTACACATAACGGGATCCGACTCCACCTACATACCCTCCACTCCCCATTCTAAAAATCCAGACCCGAGAACCAACAACGACAACGAAACGACGGCGCAAACAAGGAGAAAATGTGTACATAAAACAATCTCGTTATGTCGGCATTATCCTGAAGAATTCTGGTTCGTCCTCGTCACTCGCAGCGCCATAAATCACTCACACGCTTGCCACCCCCCATTCCCATGCCTCACTCTGTCCTTTTCACCCGCCTATCTGTGTCTCTGTCTGGTCTGCTATGCTCTGTCTATCTCATTGTCGTTTGTTTTGTGTCGCATTGCTTGTGTGTGTATTTGTGTGCGAAGCGCGTGTCCTGCTCTGATGTCGTCCTGCTCGCACATAGACATAGAGCAGCGCCTTTGTTTTAGGGGAATCTTTCTGTGAACGTTTTTTTTCAGTGACCAAAACATTTAATACACTAAAAGTTAAGTTTATATTTTTATTTAAATTATATATTTTAAAACCGAAAATGCCTTAATTTATGACCACTTCAATATTTACCAATGTACGCATTTCTGCTCTAGATCAGAATAAAATTGATCACATAAAATTGAAGAAGTTAAAAATTAAACTATTTTCAAAATGTGTGCCTAAATGTTGTTTTCTTTTATAATAAGCGTTGCTATTTGAATGAACACAGCTGTCTGTATAGTCCAAGTAACTGTAAAAAGTGTTAATTTCTTAAAGATATGTATAACTATAAAAGAATATTTATTAAATGAAAAGTTAGATCAATATATGTTTTTAGTTTACAAAAGAATAATTCATTTTTTTCATGACATTTATATAAAAATGACTAAGTTTTTTCTTAAGAAATTAAAACGTATGTAAATATAACGAATTTTATATGAAAACTGATTTATAAAAAAATTAAGAATATTTTAACATTTTTATTATATATATTTCTCTGCGATTCTCATAAAGGGTATTTCCCCGCTCAACTTTGTTTTTCCTAGAAAACAAGCATTTTTGTTGTTCAGCATTTTTCTCTCTCGGTTTGCCAGTAATTCACCCCGCGGTGACATTTTGGTGTGACAGACAAGACGTGTCCTTCGTCCTTTTTGCATTTTTCTCGGTCGGGTGTCTCTGTGTGTGTGTGTGTGGCAAGTTTATCGTTTTAAATGTTGATACAAGCCGGGGTCCGTGGTTCGCTGCTTGTCCCCGTCCGCGTCCACGTCCCGTCCTCGTCTATGTCCACGTCCGCGTGGGGATAATAGGATGTTAAGTAAATATTTAAAAAAGCCCACGTCGCCCACTCACTCATTCACTCACACAGATGCCCCTCTGGCAATTGAGAAATTGTAGGCGACCTCGAGAGCTGGGGGCGGGGGGAAAAGTTTTCCGGCGATGTCCGCTCATTTGCAATGGATGGAAAAGTTTAGGCGGGTGGGTGGAAGCGAAATGAGCCGGCGCTGGCACTCTCTAATCCAGTTTTTGGCCCGACTCTTCGGCCAGGACACTTTCTGGCATAAATCATTTGCATACAAAACGAGACCAATGAGGGAAGCCTGCGAATGAGCGTCGAAGATGAATGCGGCAGCAGCAGCAACAACAACAACAACAACAGCATCACCAAGAAGGGGCCGGAAAAATCCTTTCAATTTTCGCACACATTCAATTTTATTAATTAAAACATTTTTTTCCTCCCTTTCCCTTAGCTTCTTCTTCTGTTTGTGATCGGAGGAGCTTGGGCAATTAATTCCAAACATTCAGGACGCTTTTTCTTTGTTAAGTTTCGGTTTTATTTATTTTCATTCTTTTTTTCGCCTGGCTCTGTTTGTTTTGGGTGCGCAAATTATCCTTCGCTATCCTTGCGCGAAATAAAATATCACAAACAGTTACAGCCCCCCATAAATAATGGGAATTTATGCCACTCACCCACAAACGCAGCCGAGCAGGCAGCCGCCTTCTGTACCCTATACCTAGAAAAACAAAGGCCAGAAGCCAACTTTTCTCGCTGAAATTACCATTCAATCATTTTGTAATTGGCAGCTCAAGCAGGGCAGTGGGTGGTAGTAGGTGGCAGATACTCCGATTCAATTCCTTTATCCCTGGATGGGTTCATTTACTTTGTCCGGCTCTTAATTTCTGCAATCTATTCTAATAAGCCTTCTATTCTGCTCTGTTTTGCATTCAAATTGGATCCTTTTTCATTACCAGATTTCTAGGGGCAGTGGAGGGTGCCTACAGGGTCTGTAGGTGGCCAAAAAGGGATAAAGGTTTATTGATTTTATATTGAAATTATTTTCGGCATGGCTTCCAAAATTAAAAGAGATAAAGGAAAGACTAACACCTAAAAGGTACTTAAATTTATATTTAGATATATGTAATACTTTTAGTACATTGTAAACTTTAAACATCTTCAACAAACTGAACTACAAAATGTTCTTCTAACAATCCCTAAGACTATCCAAAGTATGGCACTTCAAGTCAAATCGCTGACACTTTCCAGAGCTGCCTCCCTCCCCATCGCTGCCAAATCTCATTTGGACCATTTTGCAATTTTAATCAGCTTTATCTTAATACTTTCGCTTTGTTTTTGGATACCGCTTTGGCTGCTGTCTGTCATAAATCTATCAAGCTTAATGGCCGCCTCAGCGCTGCACATAATTTTATGTATTTTATGCTGCAAATTGTTAGCCAAAGCGCACACAAACACAAATCAGCAGGAGCAACCCTCGCAGAGCCGCACAAACCACCCACCGACCCGCTAGCCGGGCAGAGCCACCCCCAGAGGAAAGACGAAGACGAGAACACGAATTTCCCCGCACATCTCCGAAGACTCACAAATTTCATAAAGTGGCAATTCAATCAATCAATTCTGACAGGGGGTGGCCATTGGGGGTGGACTGTGACTGCGGCCCCAGTTCTTGGCCATTTTAACCGTTATGCTCACGTACACAATCGCACAACTCAAACTGATTTTGTTACGGGTCGGAAACGAAATGTGGGTGGGTGGGTTGGTCTGTAAGGAAACAACAGCAAAAAAAAAAAGAAAAGAAAAGCGATTACTTTGAAGGAAAAAACAAAAGCTGAAGCAGGGACCCGGCCAAGTTAAGGCGAGGAAAGTATGCATAAATTTCCCTTAGCCCCAGCTTTTCCTTTCCAGAGGCAGCAACTTTGCCTCTAAGGCGTCAGTCCAGTCAGTCAGTCAGAAACGGGTCCAAGACCCTTACAGTTGGCAGTTTAAATATTTTTTAATTGCCTTTCGCGCGGCGCCCCCTTACCCATCCATCCATCCAACCATCCACCCACCCAAAAAGAAACACCACCATCCTTACCACCCCTTTTCGTAGGCATTTGACGGCCTCTTCTTTTTGCAGCCTAGCTATTATCCTTATTTATTTGTGTTTCACTTCTGTTTCATTGCCCGTTTCTCGTTTCTCGCTTTTCCTATTGCCATTGTCCTGGCAATTCGATAAATTTTGAAAACAGAAAAGAGCCTAAAGGAAAAGCTAGACAAAAGCGCTGAAACAGAAAAGTTCCTTGGCGGGGGGAGACACGTGGAAAAGAGCTCTGATGGGCAGTGGATGTGGATACGAGATGTTATCTCTAAATGTTATAAAAACCGGAGAAAGCTTGGATAAATATTTAAAATTGCCTTATTAATTCAATTTAAGTGCTTCAATCTAAACTAATCTGAGAATATGTCGATCTTAAGTTTAAAACAAGTGTTTGTTATATTAAGATACTAACTCGTAGTTAAGTTCGTTCTAAGATTATAGAGGGACGCAGTCACCATCGGTCATTGGCCTTCTCCTACGATTAAAAACCTTCATAAAAAGCAAACCAAGTCACGCCACCTCATCCAATCCAATCGAATCAAAGTCCACCATTTCTAACAAACGAACCACAGCCATGGTTGTTCCTGTGTGTGTGGTGTGTATCTTTCGGATGCTCTCAAGAATCTTTCCCATGTGAGTGGGTATTCGCCCGATGGCTGTGTAAAAACCGATGGCCAGTGAGCGTGGCCAATCTGACAGGTGATTGATTGACATTCGGATGGAGCGCGTGGAGCGAGCGAGACGAGTTATATTTGCTTGCTGTCTCTTTTCTTTTCCTTTGCTTCTCAAATCTGTCTTGCGGTGAGGGTTCAAAGAATTGCCACTCCTCCCATAAATAACAATGGATATATAAAATTGTAGGAGTTAAGTCTAAACAGTTCCTAAATAACATGCTGGCCACATCTTTCGGACTGACGGTAATATTGTCGAAATGATTAAATCATTTTTTGTTATGTTTTTGAAGTGATTAAGTAAAACTAGGAAGGTATTTAAAAATTACGACATTTTATCAAATGAGAATTACTATTACACGCAGGATAATCGCATTATAAAAAGATTTTGTAACCAGAAGTAGAAATATTCATTAGGGAATAAGGAAGTTTATCAGGCATCGGCATCTACATACGGTTTGAAAAGCAGCTGATTGGGACACATATATATAGGTATATCAACCCGCCTTTTACAGCTAACCCAGAATATATGTATTTGAAAAGTTTGAGTATGCCCCTCCACTGTCTACATGAGTAGTACTTTGCAAACATTAGATTTGAATTGTCTTTCATAAAAATGTTGGCTATTAATAAATACAAATAACTAAAATTAAATGATAAAACTTAAAATATAGTTGAATTGAACAACAGCAACAACTCTGAAATTATTTTGTCAAATAATTTTAGCGAAATGTAAACATACGTTGGACATTTTTTAAAGCCTTAAACTATAATGTGTATCTTTATAAAAGTTTAAAAGGATTAAGATTATGCATTAACATATAAAATAAAAAATAACAATAAAACAAATTAAAATCTTAAAGTTTTTATAATTTTCTAAATATAAATAATATCAGCTAATAAATATAATAAATATTAGCTGTTGGAGCTTAAGATAAATGCAAATACTAAAAAAACGACTTCAATAATTTTTGATATGCCTTATATGGTGTTTATAGAACGCACTATTTAAACTTAAATGTTCTTTGTAAATTTTTAATTTTTTATTTAAAATCTTTAATAAATAACCGCTACGTTGCTGTAAGGAATTGTGCTGATGAAGAATTAAAAAATATATTTCCGTTTAACATTTCAACACACCCTTTAATGATATATAAAACAATATATGAGAATTTTAAATCTTTAACGGCCGCAATTTTATTGACTCAGTAATTTCGAATTACTCAACGAAGTTTCGAAATAACTCAAGCATTGGAGAGCGCAAACCGGTATATGCTCTCTCTCATTCGAATTTCGAAACACGCTTTGGGCAGTGGCGTTTGTTTGGGGGTTCGCCAAATAAAAATGGTGAGCAGAACATATATTTAAAAACCAAATAATTCCTTCGTGAAAATATCACATAATGTATTTATAGCTTAAAGAATATTCAATATCTAAATATGTTTACCAAGAGGATAACATAGTTAATTTTCGAAGACCCCTTTTCATGGCTACGCCCTTGGTCTTGGCAAAAACCAAAACAGCTGATGTACATCGGCATGCAGGCAAGCTATGAAACAATCTTCAATTAAACAAATAAATGCAAACATTTAATGTATTCAAAACGTTCCGAAATATGACTGCGATACTATTTTACTTATAACGCAAAACAAAACCCAAAGATTATTTGGCAATGATGAGAAATACATACATATGTTTATACATATGTATATAATGCTCACCTGTAGAAGCAACTTGCAAACTGCAACGATGGCTTTCACTGATGATTCTTCTCTTGGTATAGCTTAAGTTGCTGATTTGTTCTCAGTACGATTTGTTGTTTTATTGTATTTGAATTAAAACACGTTAACATTAAATAATACTTATTAGTTCACAGCGCACTTTTCACGAGCAACCGTACGGCAACACGACGCGATGCTGCTCTCACGCCAGTTCGAAATTCGAAGTTGTTGTGCGAATGAGAGAGTGATGTTCGAATATTGGAGTGCTTTTGTGTTCGTATTCTATTCGAATGAGTTTAGATGAGAGAATATCTGAAACGTAAAAACATGTTATTAATTCACAAAGTTAAAATAGTTTTTAAAATTTTAAATAAAATGTATTTGCATAGTTCATGCAAATACGTATTGAGTACTTGTAAAGATTAATGCATTTTAAACTTATAGAGAAATCAAAGTCTGAATTAATGATTATGAAGTTTTTTTTTTCGTTTTGACCTTATTATAGTTTAGGTTATAATGCAAAATACCTTAAAATTTGTATTCCTTTTGACGTGTGTGATTTGACTTAAGGGACTACCAAAAACAACGAGGAGTATGACCATTATCTGGTGAAGAATGCTATTAGTCAAATCAAGTTCATGGGCACACTAAAGTACACATGTAAGCAAGCTCATTATCAATCATACATACATATGAATGTAAATACATATGTATATGTATGCACGCATCTAAGTACCTCAACATTCCTTCACTTTGGCTTTTTGATGAAAGTATTTTCATGATTTTCGAAAATCTGCAAGAGTTAAAAGAACTAAAAAGTTAATATGTATACAAAAATCTGTGTTTTCTAAAGTAAAATACAGTTTTCATTCATCAACAAGTGTTTCTCTGTTCAAATTTAATTATAGCTACTTGCAGACTAATCGACCTGCTAGAGCGTCAACCAAACAGGTTAACAACTGTCTATAATTATCGGTAAATGAATCTGACATAAGTTCAATCCACAGAACAGAAATATCTTTGGAATGATCCCGGAGGCATAATCTTGAGATAAGGTTCCACACATTTCCTGTGCCATTATCATTAGCCATCAGATTGGTGGATCGGAAAGGGGATCAGAACCACTCATTTTGCACGGGCAAATCAAAACAATTTCTCAGATGTCATTGGAATCATTTTTATTTCAGATTCTTCTTTCAATCTCCCGAGGAGCACCCAGGGCTGCGGTAGATGGCGAAGCAGGAGGAGGGGGAAGACGGGCACTAGAGGAGAACTAATTGCGTGTTCAGTGCAAAAATCGTTTCAATTTATCGCCTCAGGTTGATTTTATGCTTCACAAACACACACACACAACATACAGCACATCCACGGCCACATATTAATGAAGCTTCCAGTGGGGCGAAAGAGAAAGGAAGAGGGCTAGAGAGGGAGAGGGAGCGAGTGGCTGCTGATTTATACGCTTCAATCCCACATTTTTATTTCTTTGGCTGCCATTTAGCTAAAATATTTCATATCTCCACTGCATCGCCATCTCGAGTCTGCTGCTCCTTCGTCTTCTTTTGGCTGCCAGGCAGAAAAAGGAGACTAGAGCGGGATGGAATGATGGCGGCGGGCAAGAGCGAGAGGGAGAGGGCAGGCAATGGACAGCCGCTGCCCCGTAATTATGCGATTTGTTATTCGAGATTTGAGGCGATTGTGACTGTGAATCATGTGGACGAGGAGGCCGGAGAAGGAGCAGCTCTGCCGAGAGATGATTTAAAATGCGATTTCAATTCTGGCATTTCTGATTCGCCCGGTGTCTGCGCTGCAGCTCGGAGTCCACCCCATCCCATCTCTCGGGTATCGCATGCCGATTCCGTCCCGCCGAGAACCGAGAATCCCAGGAGGCGATGCCGAGGCCATTGCATGTGCATTGGACAGGCTGGGGGACCAAGGGACAAGCGGATTGACTCCCGGACAAACAGACAACATTCATTCGCTCGCATTCGCTGACTGACTGACGTACTTGGGGGCTGACTGATATGGGTGGAACCAAAAGGCTCCAAAGAGCGGTGGACTTATCTCGCTGGAAGCCCTGCAGCAGGCTTGACACATAGGGAAAAATATTAGTATATTCGGTGGTTATAAAACTGAAACTTTTATTTTCTATAATTTATTTATTCTGTTTATTGATCGTAATAAATTTAGATATGTTTTCCACTTACCATAATCACATAATATCAGTACGAACATTTTTCCTTGAGTGTATTAACTTATATGCGATCCTCTGGTGAGTGTTGGCCAGGCTTGATTGCATTGGCCTTCGTCTTAGTCTTCGTCTTGGTCTTGGTCTTGGTCTTAGTCTTCATCTCCATCGTCGTCGTCATCATCGGCATCGTCCATCTTGGCAGGAACATTGTCAGTTGGGCTTGGGTTTTGGGCATGGGCTTGAGTTTTGGATTTGGTTTTGGTTTTGGCCAGGGCCTGAGATTGGTTTGGTCTGGGAGCGGGGGCTCGCGAGCATAAATCACTCTCCCGGCTCGAGGATCGGAGATCGAGCGGGAAGTCTCCACCTCCTTCAGGTGCTCCTTCCCCTGAGCGTACTCCGTTGATTAATAATTAATTTGCGTTGCCTGTTGCCAGTGATTGCCTGCGGTTGTCGGTCTCTCTCGCTCAGCTCACCTGACGACCTGACTCCTTTATAATGAACGGTTTGGGCATCAGTATGGGTGTGTGTGTGCGACTGTGGCAGGACATTCGTCGTACATCATCCCATCCCAAAAAGCGCGCCCAATGTTCGATGGTCGATGGTCGGCCTGATTGCTTCGGCTCACAGGTTGCTCCGCCAGTGCATAAATTCTTTGACTCCAAACTGGTATTTAAAGAAAATACAAAAGAAACTCAAGCACAGACGGCAACAGCAACGGCAGCGGCAGCGGCATAAATTAAGCGAAAGGTGTTTATACACTCGACAATAAATCAATTAGCAAATTTGTAATTATTATGTTCATAAATCTTCACAACTTCTTGGCAGCCTCAATGAACCGGCGACCACAAAAATCCGCGATTAAAATATTTTGATAGCCCCAACGGCACGAGAGCTTCACTAGTGATCGCCGATCACTGGGAAATGCATCGCTGATCTTCACTGCAGAGTCGAATGAGGAGGGGAAGAACTAGTGGGCGTTTCCCGGCTAGTTGGAATTTCTTCCATGTGAGCTTCAGCTAAGGAATTCACTTTGCCGCAAGTTCAAGAATTTGCAATGGGAAAATTGTTATGGTAATTGGATTTTCACATTGATAGAACTTTCAAGGGGTAAGCTAATGTTTCCAAAATTCGAAATATTATTAAATAAATTAATATAATCAAGGTTGAATAATAAAAAGTTAATTTCTTCATTTTATCACTCAATCAACGCGAACTCCGCCATTTGCCATCAATCAGGGAATCATAGCCTCTGGCCCAGCTTAATGATTTCACTTTCGGCCATCGCATCCGTCATTTAAATTTGGTCAGGTGACGCCCACAAGTTGGTGTGTTTATGCGCCATTATTAACACGTCATAACTTAGCACCAGCCAGCAGCCAGCAGCCAGGGCAATAAAGTTATTCGGGGCAGGAAAACATCGGGCCACTTAGTCTTTGGCAAGCGCCAAAAGTTGCCATCAATCAACGCCGACAGTTGGTCCAAAAGGATAAGCAAATGACGGCATGCAAGTGCGTCCTACAGGGGGGCCAAAGGTGGCACCGCGGCTAACCCTCCACCCTCCACCCCACCATATAACGCTTATTTATGCACAACACGAGGCGAGGGCGAAGCCGCAAAGTGATTTTAAATGGGGCTCTGTGAAACACTGAAGCCCAGGCACAGGGCTTCAAAAATCTGTTGATGAAGCCAGGCTGTTCGGGGAGGAGGTTGAGGAGGGCCTGATGGACTCCAGTTAGCCCTTGTTACTGACCCAGGCCATTAAAAAGTGTTTGCCCGAAAAGAAAAACAAAACATGTAAGCCAAATTGTTAAATTTTTTTGGGGAAACGGAGGTGATTGGCAATTGAGAAGAATAACAAACAAAAAGAAGGATTTTAATTTAAAAATTCCAGTATGATGAAAGTGAAAATGAAATGACACTTTTAAATTAAATAAAAGGTCAGTATATTATACATCCAAAGTATCCAGAAACTTCCTATGATTATACGAGGTGTGTTCAAAAAGTAAGGTGACTTTTCAAATTTCTCGGGCAACATATTTTCGATTATCGTTTTTTTTGTTTTGTTATATTGGTACACTCTTCCCTAACATCTGTACCAAGTTTCAATGGAACATCCTCTTTTGTTTGGTTGTGAGAGGCGTAAAGTTACAAGTTGTTTTGCGAGCTCGGCGATTTTTTGCTATCGAAAAATATGGATCAAAGGATTTTCATCAAATTTTGTGTAAAAAATAAAATTAAGTGCTCTGAAACACTTGAAATGTTGACAGTGGCATACGGTGAAACTGTTCTGAGTAAAAAAAATGTGTACAAGTGGTACAAACTCTTCCAAGATGGCCGGGAAGATGCCAATGACCAGCCTCGCTCTGGACGCCCAAGCACGTCAACAACTGATGAAAACGTTCAAGCAGTGACGAAAATTGTTTTGGAAAATCGTCGAATCACTATCAGAGAAGTTGCTGAAGATGTCGGTATATCGCTTGGCTCGTGCCATGAAATTTTTTCAAACGTTTTGGGTATGAGTCGTGTGTCAGCGAAGTTTGTTCCGAAATTGCTGAATTTTGAGCAAAAGAACCGTCGCATGAGCATCGCTCAAGAGCTGTTGAATGACGTCAACGACGACCCAGATTTACTCAAAGGGTCATAACTGGTGACGAATCATGGGTATATGGTTATGATATCGAAACCAAAGCCCAATCGTCCCAATGGAAGAGCCCAAACGAGCCAAGACCGAAAAAAGCAAAAAATCGCCGAGCTCGCAAAACAACTTGTAACTTTACGCCTCTCACAACCAAACAAAAGAGGATGTTCCATTGAAACTTGGTACAGATGTTAGGGAAGAGTGTACCAATATAACAAAACAAAAAAAACGATAATCGAAAATATGTTGCCCGAGAAA